TTCATATGATTCCAATTTTATAAGCATTTTTTGTTATTCTATTATTTGTGACTCTAAACCTTTATTTGAAATAGGGAATTCTCATCTCAAACCTTATCGAAAATTTGATCACTTTAATTTTTGTGAAATATCATAAAACAACAAATATCTGTATTTTTTCCTTATATTTTTATTTTATTTTACCAAACTCATCCGTAACACGTTATGAATTTGTACAAATCGGAGATTAATATATTTTTGTTTTCAAAATCATAACACAAACTTGCTACACTAAAGTCTAATTTCGAAAATTAAAAAATAAATTAGCTATCAAGAATCTAAATAATAAAAAAATATGTAGTTTTCAAATTTTAATATTTTCTTAGTGGGATTAAAATCATACAAACTTGCCAGGTTTTCACATTTTCAACTGGAAATATTTTGCAATTATTTACATCAAAATAAAATTTGAATCTGACATCTTAAAAATTTTGCTAGAAGAGTTTTCCATTTCAATTTGTATTTATGATGAAAACAAAAATCTGAAATTTTTTCCAAATTTTTTATTAAATTTTACCAAACTCGCCCGTGTAAAAGTCAAGCAATTGTAGAAACAAATAATAAATAAGTATATTTTTGTTTTCAAATAGTAACAAAACCTTATTTCATAAAACTCTAACTGAAAAAAATAATAATTATAAAGAACGTCGACTAAGGATCTAAATAATTAATAGAAGTTCTCCTATTAAAATTGTTTATTAGTGGGAACAAAATAATAAAATGTTCATTATTTCACATAATTTTAATTGCAAAAATTTATTTTTGCTAACTAATTATTCAAATTGTTTGCGACTCAAATTTTTACTGGAATGGAAATAATTTGACAATCTGGAAAACTGAAAAAGTGGAAATCTAAACAAAAAAAATGAGATTTACATCTTTAAAATATTACCAGTGACACGTTTTCTCATTTTAATTTTTATTAATGACGAAATTATCATACATACAAAAATCTGATTTTTTGCATATTTTTTTTATTTACCAAAATCGTCCATATTTATGTAACACTTTATATGAAATTGTACAAATAGTAAAGAAGTCAACACATCTTTATTCATAATAATTTCGTAGAATCGCATCTTTTACACAATTTTTTACACCTCGACCACCACCAACCACCACAATTAAAATTATCGCTTTAATTACAATAATTAATGTCATTAAATCAATTACACAACACAACAGGGTATCAAACGCAATCTTGTCGGACCATACATATCGACATCTTCATCTCATCAATTGCATGATTTTCTTCTGTCTGGGTGAAAAAAGTGTGCAAATTATTTGCACAAAATATGCATAAGTATATAGGTCTCAGCAGCCAATATCGTGTCAAGATTAAGCTAATAATGAGATGTGAAGTAACAGACAGAAAAATGCACTAAAAAAGCGTAAAATGCATGTTATATTAGTGTTGGACTTGACGATTTATCGTCAAAATCAACACGTTTTTAATCGTTTCTCGGCTCTGGGAATTTATTTCAAAATTCTGGACGAAAAATTTGTAGAACATGAAATTTACAATTTTGCAAAAATATTTAAAACATCTTTATTTATAATTATTTCTTACAATCACATCTTTTACACAATTTTTTACACCTCGACCACCACCACACCACCACAAATATCACTTTAATTATTGTCATTAAATCAGCATACAATTGCAATCTTATTTACGTACATATCGACATCTTCATCTCATCAATTGCACCATTTTCTTCTTTCTGGGGTGAAAAAATATGCAAATTATTTGCACAAAATGTAAATATGCATAAAGTAGGTCTCAGGAGCCGATATCGTGTCAAGATTAAGCTAATATTGCGATGTGAAGTAACAGACAGACAGAAAAGCTAACAATGCACTAAAAAAAGAAGTGGAGAGGAAGGAAGTCATGTGCAAGAAAATGTGTGTCGTCGTCGTCGTCGGCCACGTGACACTAACCAACGCAACTTTTAATGAATTAGTTAACTAAAGTAAACTAAACATGAATTATGACCAGAGGGCGGATATGTATTTATGTTTGAAGTTTATTTCATTTGATGCCGATGGTCAAACTTTGTGGGTTTGTTCCCTAACTCCCATAGGGAACAAAAATTTCCAAATATTTTTACATATTGGAACATATTCGGAAATATAAATATTTCAGCTATTATTCGTAAAATGCGTAAATCTTTTGTATATTTGTTCAAAAATATATATTTTTTGAAAATATTTTAACATCTGAGAGACGAAATTTGTTTGCTTAAAGAAATCAGACAAGAAAAATTAACGGCATTAAATCCTAAAATATTTTGTGAAAATCCTTATTTTTATATACAATTTTTTTTTCATAAATATTAAATACAGGTTTCAGCCATTTTTTCGTAAATACATATCCGCCCTCTGATCATTACTTAAGAGACGAGACACAGCCCAGTATGTAAAAAAATGTCACCACACAATAAACAAACAGTGACTAAAAGCCGAGTAGTAGTAACAATTATTAACTAACTAACTGCATTCTTCTATTAGTTAAACTAAATATTTTAGTTAAATAATAAAGGGAAACACACTGGCCGTGGAAGTCGTGGGGACATCTGGGGACATTGCCATTGTAGGATGGGGGGAGGGAGGGGTTTATGTAACATGGTGAGGTGATGGAGACTTCGAACAATCATGGGGACATTGTCCCTCTGTCCCCACGCACCCTTCCGCGGCCACTGAAGGAACAAAGGAATAAGAGACAGGTCTAATATTAATTAAGAGAACTTCAGCAAACCTACCTAAATTTCAATTAGTGTTATCCATCCTCCATCTGAAAAAGATTGAGAGACTCGGATTTTTTTACGTCATTAAAATTAATAGTTTTTTTTGGGTTTGTTGTTGGTGGCATAATAATTTCGAGCTAGATTTTAATTCGTGATAAATTAGTGAGGGGAAGGAAAGGAAGGAAAAGGAGCGATAAATGATATGTTTCTTTAATAATATGTATGAGCAACTTGGAAATTTCAGAAAATGTGAAAAATTAAATGAAATTGTAAAATTTCAGAAAATGATTAAAAATCCGAACTAATTTTGAGCCTGGAAATTTGCAAAAAATTGTTTCAAATCGTAACTTTCCAATTAATTAGCCATCTAATACTTCTTTTTTGAAACACATTTTTGTTATGATTATTTTTTCTGACTATATTTATATTTTACATTTTGTTTCAAATTTATTAAAATGTTCAAGTGTACTATTTCTTCATATTTGATGCTTTTTTATTCTTAGGTAATAAAAACTATGTGCAATTTGAAAATTGCAGAAAAATTCCCGAAAATCCTAAATGATTTTGAACATGGGAATTTGGGATGAGTAAATAAAAACTTGTTTCAAATCGTAAATTTCAAATTGAACATAATGAAATGGCTTTGAAATTTACCACCTGATATTTATTGTATAAATTAAATTTTTCTTTTAATTGTCTTTCTGGCGTTTGTGTTTTACATATTTTACATAATCTTCTAAATTAAAAAAATAAGTGCATTTCTTCATATTTGCATGCTTTTCTTCACTATAATAGGAAATAAGTATAGCTTGGAAATTTCATTTCAGAAAATCCTAAATAATTCCGAACAAGAAATTTTGTGAGAAGATTAAAAATAAAAATTATATCGAGTGGAAAACGAAAATGAAAATTACAAAAACGAAAATGAACAACCAAAAAGAAATCTAAAATTTATTTTATTAATTACATTTTTCTAATATAAATTCTTTCTGACGTTTATATTATACATTTTTTTCAAATTTATTAATAAAATTATGTAAGTGCAATTCTTCATATTTGACGCATATATTTTATGCTTCACACAGTTTCAGAAATTCTTGATAACCTGGAATCCATCCAATTAAAAAATATATATAAAGTCCAATTCTACGAAAAATCTAGCTTCTTGGACATTTCACTCGCATCTTTTTTTGCGAGGGTTGCGTACACTGCAAAGCATCCGGTAGAGTCATATATGTACTCCGTACTGGTATTGATTTGGTAATAATTCCTTACCGGATTGGTTATAATTTGATTCTGAGTGGTAAAGATTTCATTACCACCACATTACCACGCCGATCGATATTACCGATGCCGATAGAGTCAGATATGTACTCCGTCCGGTAACGATTCGCAATAATTCAATACCAGTTGCCCCCTTCATTTACCCATCTTATGTAAACCACTCTCCCTCGCCTATTCTGCAATATTAATGTCCCCAGATGTCCCCACGGCTTCCGCGGCCACTGCAACACACTAACCCGCAGTGACCCCAAATATGTAAATATATAATTTAAATATATAATTATCCCCAAAAAAAGTCCTGCATCTAACGTATTTCCAAAAAACCACGTGGCACACAATGAAATTGTGTCTGTGTACATACATAAATTTTTTTTTAATCCCTAAAATATATGTGGGTCGCTAAAAATCACATTATTACACACATTCCATTATTATTTCCCCTCCTAATCTGATGCCTACGACAAAGTAAACACAATGGAATCATCTCACAATGGAGGCGCAAACCATGTTCAGCGCAGATAATTTTTTGACCTTATTAGTTTGAAAGAGCAAGTCTTTACAAACAACATTTGGCTCGGCACTTAGGCAGATGCGCAAATTTCAGCACGTTATGGGCGCCGCAAGTTCGCAAAAACGCACGAAGTTGAGCTCGCGCTGGGCATTGCCCGAAAAATCGTGCGTTTTTGCGAACTTGCGGCGCCCATAACGTGCTGAAATTTGCGCATCTGCCCAAGTGCCGAGCCAAATGTTGTTTGTAAAGACTTGCTCTTTCAAACTAATAAGGTCAAAAAATTATCTGCGCTGAACATGGTTTGCGCCTCCATAGTCAGTTATTTCTTGATGACAACTTCTTCCATCCAAAAACACCAATCGACAAAACCGCAACGCGACGTTTTAATGGTTGACAGACAGACAACAGTTAACTAACCTCTCTCTCTCTCTCCAACTCGTTAAGAAAAGTCCATCTAGTCAATTTTAAAGCTTAAAACCTACCTTACTTACTTTCAGTTTCAATCTTTACTTACTTATTTTCAGTCTCACTCCACCGCATCAAGAAAGAAGACTGCTTCTTCTTCTTCTTCTTTTTGTATTAAGGGAGGAATTTAAATGATCAAAATTTGATTTCTTCTTTTTTTAACTGCAACACTTTAATCCAAGCAAGAAATCAGAGAGACCTTAAAACTCTTACTTTTATTGTTAGTACGCGTTTCGTCCCCAAAGTTTGGGAGCAGCATTATTTGGCAAGTTTTAAGAGAAGATCAATTCTTCCTCCATTTTGTGCAATGATATTTCAAATTTTGGCGAATTACGTAACATAACTCGCAAAAATTTTGCATGAAAGGAACTAACTAAATAAATAAGTAATAATAAAAGGCTTCCTCATTTTTTAAAAAGTCAGTCGGCACACACGTTTTTTTATTGTTGAAAATTATTATAAGGCTTTTTTGGGGTGGATTTCAAATTCAGATTTCAGTTCAACAAGAAGAGATACAATAAGACTACTTCTCGACTTCCTTCCGGAGGGGGCAATTATTAAGCAAAAGTTAATACAGTGAGTGATAATAAACAGAAGTGCAAGCAAGCAAAAGTCAGTCAGAATTGGAGCAATCTCGTCTCGTCCATGCAATTTATTTCATGCACTACACGCAATACAATATCTGCATAGCGTAGGTAGAGTTGGTTAGTTAGTTGGTGACCAATTGTGTGTAATTATTAGTTATACAGTGGTATTTCTATATTTATCTCTGCTTTTAAGCCTCAGTCGAGGTAATGAAGGCACCATGTGAAGTTGGCTCGAAATTTTTTTCAAAATATTTTTTCTTTTTTGAATTTCTGAAACAGTGATATTAACCCAGTTTTAATTAGGAGTTTTAATTAGGATAGGAGACGAGGGCAAAAATACTTATGAAAGTTTTTTTAACATTTTTTTATGAATTAGTTCAAAATGAATAAAATCTGAATAAAAATGAGACTGATATGAAAAATCAATCCAGTTTTAAGAGTGGAGCTCAAAAATATACAACTTTTTTTAAAATGGGACAATGATACAAGTAAATTCAGTTTTAGGAGAGCAAAAAAATATTCATTTTTTTGTTTCAATTTTTCGAAAAAAATGAGGTAGTGATATTATTTCAATTATTATGTCATTAGTCAAGCAGTCATTTACACTGTAAAAATAATTACTTAATAAGTGTAGGAGAGAGAGAAATTATGTAAAAATGACGGCAGCGAAAGTGAAGATAAAAGCTATTTTTACCATTATTATTATGTCATCTAAAAAATCGATACGTAATTAATAATTAATCATCGATAAGGATCAATAACTCAATCTTTCGAGACACTAAAACCGTTTTGTTTTAAAAAGAAGTTGCAAAAATCGTGATTCTTCGAGTGAAATGGAAATCATCAAAGTGAGACGAGTAGTAAAGTGATGATGATGTTGACGATTATTATGAGACAGAAGAAATGGAGACAAGACGAGGAGGAGGCAGATTGAGATTTTTAACCACAAGTGCATTTTGAGAAATACTAAAATTTCTCAATTTTTTATTACGATGAATAATATATATTTCTGGAAAAAGTTTAAAAACAAGTTTAAATTGAGTGAGCAAAAAAAGTGGAAATCGAAGAAGAAAAATGTGCAAAAATCGTGGTCAACCTGGAGAAAGGTGTGTGTCAAATTTCCTCTCGTTTTCATCCTTCTCGCGATGACGTGTATCGGATCTGCTACTTCCGGTGGTGGTGGAAGTGGTCATCAGGACGCATTAGGTAAGATTCACGTCAATTTTTTTGGCATATTTTTGTATTTAGGACTTATGTCAATTTTTTTTGCATATTTTTGTACTTGTGATTCACGTCAATTTTTTTGGCATATTTTTGTATTTAGGAGTTATGTCAAATTTTTTTGCATATTTTTATATTTAGGACTTATGTCAATTTTTTTTTGCATATTTTTGTACTTGTGATTCACGTCAATTTTTTTTGTTTTTTGAATTTAGAATTCATGTTATTCATGTATATTCATGTATATTCATGTATGTTTTTATATTTATTTTACGGTGTGTCATGTCATCTTTATCACGACACTAATCGAGTCTTATATACTACGTCTTTTTGGGTAATTTAGACATCTCATTTGTCATGCAAGCAAGATGATGAATGATGTGGTAATAAGATTGTTACCGAGTAGCTGCTAAATTTACGGGACCATATTAGTCAAGATTTAGGTACGAGTAAAGGGTGACATTTTGCACGAATTTCTGCAATTTTGCGACAAAAAGATTGACACTTTGCATTCACGAATTTCTGCAACTTTGCTGATATCACTACACTCTTCTATAGCAAATGTTCATTGGATCAATATCTGTCATGCAGCAGGGTGGGTGATAAATGATGTGGTAACAAAATTGTTACCGAGTAGATACTAAACATACACATTTTGCACATTTTTCCTTGCATTTCGGCAGCTTTGGTAGAAAATTGGAGCCAATTTCTTGCTTACTTACCTCTCGGTAGCAAATGTTTACCGTGTCAATACCGAATTTTCTGCAAGCTAACCTTGCTCGGTGACTGTTTATTACCGCATAATAATTTATCACAATGCATGACATAAATACATACATACTTGAGATTTCTTAATTACCCAAAAAAAAAACGTAACAAGGTGCTATTCCTTTGTTCTCGTCTTAATGAGACCATAGATTAGTCAGCAGTTAAAATTAAATATCAATCTGTATTAAAATTAGACTCATTTTGAACTTGACGTAACACAATTGAGCTGATGGTCAATTGGTCAACGGGCCTTGTTACACAAATAAATATTGACCACTCCACTTTCTTAAGTGAATGTGACTCAATCTACGTCACGAGTGAATCGATCCTTAAAATATGGCATTGATGACGAGGAGAAAAACCAAATAAAAGACTTCGATCTTGAGATTGACATTAATCAATGAGCAGAACAGAAAAAAAGACTCGAAATTTTTAAAGTACCTGAATTTGCATTATGCAATTTTATTTTTCACATTCTTCTAAATGGAAGGATAAATTATGACATTGATTCAAATAATGGTTTAGTGTTTGATTGATTGAAAAGTGCAATCAGTGTCAGGAGTGAGTAAGAAAAACGATGAGGATTTATTTAGAGGACGCCGCAAAGAGATTGAGCTTACAAGTTTTTTTGGTCAAATTAATAAGAAAAGTTTGAAATTTTATGAAAATTTTGTAAAATTTAAGATTATAAGTAAAAATTGAGAAATAAATTTTGGAGGGTTTACACGCCAAAAGAAAAATATTTTTAAAAAAATATTAAATTATGATTCGAAGATTGATGCTTGGGAACATGCATGTTCAAAAAATATTTATTCATTCAAAGTTCATTCATTCAAAGCCTTGAAAAAAATATTCAGTCCTTATTCACTCATTCACAAAATATTCAAAATATTCATTAATTATTCAACATTTATTCATTATTCACCATTCCTTTAATATTTATGTTACTAAAAATTCACAGTATTATATGAATTTTTCAACTTTCCCTATGTATTAAGCATTGAGTTAAAAATGAATAATTAAAAAAATATTCATTCATTATTTATTCACACGAATTGAATAGATATTCACTCAATATTCATTTATTCAAAAAGCAGAATAAAATATTCATTCAATATTCATCCAAATTTTGAATATTGAATGAATAATTTATTCATCCATCATTAAATGAATGAATGTGAACATGTATGCTTGGGAAACGTTTTTTGGTTAAATTAATCAGAAAAGTTTGTAATTTGATTTAGTTTTGGACAATTTACGATTATATACTTGGGCTAAAATTGGGGAATAAATTTTGAAGGGTTAGAAAAATTTTGAAGAAAATATTAAATTTTGATTTGAAGGTGGAAAACGTCTGAAATTATTTTGGTCAAATTAGATAATCAGACAACTTGGCAATTTGATCAAATTTTCGTACAATTCAAGTTAACTCGTTGCAAAAATTTGAATAATTTTTGGAGGACGCTGAGAGAGATGGAGATTACAAGTTTTTTTGGTCAAATTAATCAGAAAGGTTTGTAACTTTTGAACAATTTTAGTTTACCCGGGGTAAAAATTGCTTACACGCCAAATCCAAATTTTTAAAGAAACATGTTACTACCTGATCTGAAGATCAATAATAAATTCAGGGAAGATTAATAATTTTTGGAGTGTTAGTAATTTAATTTTTCAGGGTTTGACGACAAATAGAAAAATATTGGAGGGCTTACACGCCAAATAATAAAATTTCGAAAAAATACTGAAATTTTATTTGAAGATCAGCAACTCGTGGAAGATTAATTAATATTTTTTTGAGTTGTAAGTACTTTGATTGACGACAAATTAAAAATTTTTTTTAAAAAAAGTATAAAATTTTGATTGTAAGATAAAAAGTTGGATATATTGAATGATTTTTGTAGTTTCAGACGACAAATCGGAAAAAAATGGAGAAAAGTATTAGGTTTTGATTTTAAGATGAGAAGTTCTGAAAATAAGGATAATTTTTGGATTGTTCGACACCAAATAGAAAAATTTTGAAGAGATTTATTACAATTTTACTTTAAGTTTCAGGTTATTCCGTCTTAAATTTGATTCGAAATGTGAAAATAATTATTCTAAAAATATATACCATGAATTTGTAGAAAAATTGAAAGTTCACAATTTTACAGAATTTATTTACAAAAATAATTTATTTGCCAGATGAAAAATTGGATAATGAGGAATAATTTTTTAAGGGTTTGACGCCAAATAGAAAAATTTGAAAGAAAACTAATCGTATCTTAGTGTTAAAATTTTTAAATTTATATCTTTGCGAAATTAGAAAATAATTTAAGTTTAAATTATTCTAAAATTATGGCCGATAAATTTTTATAAAAATTGAAAGTCCACAATTTCAAAGAGAAGCATTTATGTACAAAATTTGGAAATTATCATAATTTATTTTGTCAAACGTTACTTCTTTATTAGTAAAGAAAAGTAATATTATTTTGATTTTAAGATATAAAAAATGGCGAACTTTTTGGAAATACCTAATAATTTTTTAGTTTTTGACGCCAAATAAAAAAATTCTGAAGAATTGTCGTACATTTTGATTTTAAGATCAAAAAACTTTATTTTGTCTTCGGTCACATAAAATTATACCGCTTTTTAAATACGTTTAAAATTAAGTTCAAGATTAAATACTGATAACGAAGTTAGAAAAGAATTAGAATTTAAAATTTATTCTAAAAAATACTTCGAACAAAATTTCAAAAATTTCAAATTTCAAAGGGTGACATAAATTATTTACAAAATTAAGAAATCATTATTGTCTATTTATTTTGTTCAACGTTACTTTACTTCTATGTTAAATGCTCCAAAAAAGTATTATTATATTATTATTTTAAGATGAAAGATTTAGAAAAAATTAATATTATTTTTGGTGTGTTTAAACGCCAAACTGTAACATTTTTATTTTAAGATAAAGAAGATGCAATCCCGTCATAATTAATTTCAAGATTAAATTTGAAAATAATTAAGGTTTAATAAATTATTCTAAAAATATCTACTTCCCATAGTTTTTTTTAGTAAAATTGAAAGTTCATAATTTCAAAGAGTAACAAAGTTTATTTACAAAATTAAGAAATTATCATTCTTTATTTATTTTGTTAAACGTTACTTCTTTGTTAAAAAAGAAGGAATGAAACTTTGTTGACAAGTTTTTATTGTTATTTTAACCGGATAACGATGTACTCATTGTTAGTCAGTCATTTATTTGGCATTAATTTCGTCCTGCTTATTTATTATATGTGCAGGAACTTATTTACTTCAATTCTGAGGGAAGGTTTACTTTAACAAGTTTATTGTTTGGGTGTCAAAAATAGAAATGAAATGAAAGGAAGAAAATAAAAACAATTATTCGCTCGAGTGCGTGCGTAGATTTTTGCGATTTTGTGTAAATAAGCAATGTTAACGTGGATTTTTATTGTGGATTTTGGGGAAAATATAGTAATGTTAACGTACTTTATTTATTTATTTGCACGGTGATTGATGATGAAGATCAGTGGCCGCGGAAGCTGTGGGGACATCGGGGGCATTAACATTGTAGGATGAGGGAGGGAGGGGTTTATATAACATGGGGGAGATGATGGGGACATTTAATAACCGTGGGGACATTGTCCCTCTGTCCCAACCCACCCTTCCGCGGCCACTGATGAAGATTTAGGAAATATTTCAAATGTTGAAGAGATGTGGCAAAAATGAAAAACAAGAGGAAAAATTGTAGGATTCTATGTGCAATTTGGTACAAATTTTCCGCTATTTATTTGTTTAGGTAGGTACCTAAAACCAAAGCAAAATAAATAAAATTTAAAATTTAGCTTAAATTTTAAAACCTTTTTAGCATGGTTTTCCTATAAAAAAAATTGGAGGTCCATCTTTATTGGGAATTATTCATGAAGATTGCCCGGATTAAGTTAGCAATAAATGTTATAACAATGTAACGAACTCGGCCATTTTTTTTAATATGTAGGAAAATATATTGACAGTATTTTTGTGTTGAATTAAATTACAACAAATCGGGTTGGATTTTCGTTTTTTCAAAATCAAAAATTCTCATTTTTTCAGATCTACGTAAAAGTTAATTTTAACTTAAAATTGCCCAAACTCGAAATCTACAATTAATTATGAAATAATTTTCATATATCTTTTTAAATCCGACCCTAAAATCTCACAATTTTGAAAATATTTGTTTAAAAATTTCATAAAATCCAACCAATATTTTCGCGATCTTTTTGTCAATGCTTCAACTACAATTTTTTTGCAATCCCAGATTTTCGCGATTTTTGCCAAAAATTTTACAGAAATATCGACTGCAAATCTTCTTGTCAATGTTTCAACTACAATTTGTTTGCCATCCCACCCATTAAAAAACTATTTTTACTACGAAATGTGCAAACTTTACCTTCCTTATCGTCAAGATAAGCACACAAAAGCATTAATCCACACATACCTATTCCCATTAAACCCCTTGCATCACTCCGTCGTCACCAATTTGTCGTAAACTTCACTCTACTTATTCTTCTCTTATTGTGTAATTGATTCGATTATCTCTTCCTCTGTTTGCATACAATTTAGCACAAATCGTAATAATACAAGAAGATTGTTGGTTTCTCGCATCGTGGGAGTTTTGCATGCATGCACGGCTCGCAATTATTTCGCATTGTTGTCTTTTATTCTTTTAACTCTGGGCGGGCGGCGTAATAAGAAGGCGACAAAATGTCAATTTCTGCAACAAGTTGTATGTGTATTTCCTTTTTTGCGAAATACTACTGAATTTGTGCAATAATGAGAAGAAGACGCAATTCCTTTGTGTTAAATAGATATGTACGACGCCTCGTGGTCGTGTTCCACATAATTCTGGATTCGCATCTCGGCTCATCTCATACTTTTCCTGACTTTTTCTTGTGAAATTGGTGGACGGTCAATAAAAATTTGGAATTATAAAACTTCCTTATTTACATTATTTTGAAAATTATTAAGTTTTTTGTCTTTCACGGATGTGCAAATATGTAAATAGTGACAAATTAGCATTATGCAATTATACCTATTTTGAGCACTGGGTGAAACTGCAGTGGAATTATTTATGCTTGTCACCTCATTTACATATTTTGTCAAATTCGCGAGACCGAGCTTATTCAACATGGAACGCCAGTATCGCTGAAAATGGTTTTATGCAAATGAGGTGACACGCACAAATAATTCGACTCTAATGTATGCAGTTTACTAGATTTTTGCACAAGAATTCTGAATTCGCATCTCATCCTTTCATACTTTTTCTGACTTCTTCTTATGAAATTCAACAAATTGGTGGCCGGCCAATCAAAATTTGGATAAAACTTCCTTAATTTTGACAATTAACGCTCATTCATTCACTCATTTTTTTGTCTTTCACGGTACACGTGTAAACCAAATAAAATAACAAATTATTAGTATGTGTGCATTCTAACGATTTTTAACACCGGGTGAAACAGAGCGTTACCTATGCAATGCGTTTTACTAGATTTTTGCACGAGAAGTTTTAAAAAATCAAATCGTTTAACACGATATAAACCTGAAAGATTAAGTAATATTAATGTGATACTTATTTAAAACTTTATAACTAACTAACCGACCGACCATGTTACAAACTGTGAAATCTGATAGTTCATAAAAGGCAAATTAATGGCCAAGAAAGAAGTGAGTTAAATTTAAAGTCAGTTAAAATAAATAATATACTTGCACTTTTTTTAACTGCTTAATTTAGAAAAAAAACTTTAAAGATTGAAGATTGTTTGAATTCTCAGACAAAAAAAAGTGCACCATTTTCCGCTCACTTAACTTGCACATGATGATTACCATTAAACTCGTGAGTTAAATAATTGATGATGATTAAAAAGTGCAAGTAAAGTAAACCAGGGGATGAAGTGACCCATTTTTTTGTCTTCTTTTGCATAATAATAAAGTTAAGTTTAGCCATGCAAGGAGGCACGATTTGCAAAAATTTGCATAAAACTTCCTTCCGGAAAGGGCTAAAAAAAGATTTTGAAAAAAGGAGAAGTGAATGATGGGAAATTTGTGTCCACGTGTTGCATTTGCATTTTCATTGTTGTCAGGATTTTTTTATTATGTATGTATGCGAATTATTGCGGATTGATGATGTATCTTTTTTTTTTATGGTGGGAATTATGGCTTGGGTTAGGTTTAGTTTTAGTGTGGTGAGAAAATGGGACATGATAATCAAAATGGGGAGTTTCATGTGATGATAAGTGCTGATAAATATTTGCAAATGTTTATTTTTTGCAAGGGTTTGTAGAAGATGAGAGAGGTTGAGTAGATTGTAGGGGACAAATTATTATAGGCAAATTTGTTGCGTTATTTAGGGCGTGATGTAATAATTGGGATTTGATAAGTTTCTGGCTGGAAATTTGTATTTTGGAGGAACGAATGGGAAATTTTGAGGGAGAGAAAATTGCATGAAAAATATTTGCAATGTTTCCTTTTTTGCAAGAGTTTGGCAGAAGAGAGAGATTGATTAGATTCTAGGGGACAAATAATGTATTGAAATTTGTTGCATCATCGGTATTTATATTGTGATGTAATAATTATGATTGACAAATTAGTTTCTGGCTGGAAATTTATATATTTTGGAGAAACAAATTGGATCCAAATTGTATGATTTCTACGCCCACATATTAATTTTTGCGATGCGTAATAAAAGTAACATTAAAATTTTGTAGGTGCGTGTAGATCTTCCTGAGTAACTATTTATGTCCTATTTATTACGTATGAAATTTTTTGCAAATTATTATTTTTTTGCACATCACCCATTGTTCATGATATATAAATAATTTTCATTCGAATTAAATTATTTTCTGACTGGAAATTTATATATGCAGGAATATAAATTGAAAATTTTAGACATACAAATTGTATGATTTCTAGACACATATATTTTTATAGGAAATCGTCACACTTCGATCATGCAATTTAATAATTATGATATTTTCGGTCCAGAAATGTACTTATGTTTTGGAACCAATCGAAAATTTGGGAGATGAAATATTCTATATATTTGTCTACAAAATCATAATAATTATTCCATTTTTTCAGGAAATCACCACCCACCACAAATTCCCCAAGATGACGCACTTCTCCTTCTCCTCCCCCTCGAAAAGGACCGACTTACCCCCCAAAATCTGCCAGCAATTGCCCCCACAAACGAGACCCTAAACCCAACGAGAAGAAGAAATGCACCTCATAATACAAAATCCAGTCAAAAAACGAAAACAGAAGACAAACTTCTTCCTCCAGATAAGAATAAAAAAGTGAACAGGAAGAAGACGGATAATAAAAATGTTCAAAATTTTGAAAATAATCAGGACAACGAGGGTTCCGTACTTGTTCCTCTGGACAAGAAGAAAAAAGTGGCGAATGTGCCCAAGAAGAAAAAGGCGGATAATAAAAATGTTCAGAATTTTGAAAATAATAAAACCAACGACCATTCCGTCCCCGTCGGAAACAAACTTGTTCTTCCCGAACAGAAGAAAAAAGTGGTCAAGAAGACAAACGTAAAAAATTTTAACAATCAAAATGACGATGATTTCGTCACAAAAGTGACCACCGTGAAGAAGAAGACAAAAAATAATCAAAATTTTGAAAATAAAGACGATGATTCCGTCCCCGTCGTCCCGATCCAACTGCCCCCACCAAACGCCACCTTGCACTACCACTACACCGACGATCCGACCTCCTCCCTCAAAAATTTGATGAAAACGGACTTTTCCAAAATCATCCTCCCCTTCAAAACTACGCAAAAAGACGTCAGAAATCCGTCCCATTATCGCGACCAAACCATCTTTTTCCAGGATTTCGACAACGTCGACGACGAAGACGGTCACAATTTCGACAACGATTTCAACCTTTACACAGAAATGGGGGACGACAACGACCAATCAGTTTCGGCTGGGACGCAAATCCAAAAGTATTCAAAAAGTGACACATTTTTACATCATCATCACAATAATGATAACAATCGTGCCGAAAAGAAGAATTCCTCGCAAAATGCGAAATCCTCGTCGCATATTAAGAAGACCAATTCGAAAAGGAAAATAATGCAGCCGCAAAATAGAAATAATTTCTTCACTGAGCACGATTACCCACAAATTAGTCACGACGATTCTACCAGTTTTAGTGGTGGTGGTGGTGGTGGTTTTAACAACAATAAGAACACAGCAACAATGAGAACGAGAACGAGACAAAATAATAAGAATAATAATAATAACAATTATGACGAGCAGCTGAGAAGAAATAAAAATAAAAATAGTACGACTCGCGGTAAAAGTGACAGTTTTTTGGTGGTTGGGGATAATAAAAGTGAGAAGAATAACGACCATTATTTTGGTGATTATCAAAATGATAATGATAGCGACGACGATGATGAGCTTGGTGAAGATTTTTTCGAATCGAAGAAAATTTCTGGGAATTTTTACCCGAAAAAAGATAATGCAAGTGTTGGGACGGGTTTTGGGTCCAGTTTGGAGGATGTCAGTTTGTCCCTGAATTTTGACAATGGGAGGGGGACCGAGGGGGGTGAGGATTCCGAAGGTCGTGATTTGACCAGGAGACGACGCCCGAGACGAAGTGTGGTCCATTTGTATGACATGGTGGTTTGTGCGACGGGCTGTAATCCCTTGGCGTATAAAGGGTATGGATGCTACTGTGGGTTTTTGGGGTCGGGATTGACCGTGGATGGGATTGATAGGTATTTTTTTAGAAGTTTTTGAAGGATTTTTGAAAAAAAAAATTGTAAATTTTGGGCATTTTTTGAAAATTTAGATGCTGTGCCAAACATGGTGGGTGAATTTTGCTTGTTTTTTTTTTATTTTTATTTATTGAAATATGGATGTTCGTTGCATAATTGAATTTCATTTCGGATAAAATCCTTAGCAAACTTTGGAATTGCAATTTTGAACTGTTTGGAAATTTCTGGGGACATGTTGATCTCAAAATTTAAGAAAGAATTATATACAACTGAAATTATTTATATATTAAAAAAAACTCGTAAAAAATATAAAATGTATAAAAATACAAACTTTTCATAAATTTGTATCAAAAACTTCTACCTTTGAAAGATTCCAGAAATCCACCTTTTTTGTGACCGATTCCATTTTAGAGAATATGTAATTAGCATCATTTTTTAACTCGACACTTTTAACAAACATTCAGAAACTTTTGCCAAAATTTGGCTCATTTTCATCAAAATATTTTTACCTAACTTTAACGCCATAAAACATTTCTGGCAATAAATTTAAACCTAATGAAAATTAAAGGTTCTGGTGTCGATGAGTCGACATGATCAGTGAAAATCATCTTCAGTCGACTCAGTGACACCAAAATCTCTTTGATTAGGTTTAAGGTGGTATAGTATGCGGGTTTTGAGTTTGAATTGTTGCGTCTCAACTTTCCCTTCTTCTATATATTCAAATGGCGATTTTGAAACCTGATCATCTCCGTGAGTTTTTTACAATATGAAGATTTGAATGCACATAAAAATCGATAATTTTTAGGTTTACAAAGTTAGGCTGGTCTGATTTTGATTTTTTCTTCCATGGGAAAATATTTAAGTTTTAGTGATTATTTTTCGTCTGTTTTATGTATTTTCTCATTATATGTATTTGTATTATATGTATTTATATATATTTTACATGTATTTTCCTGAGATGCTAATTGGATCGAAATTATAATATGCAACGACTAAAAATATCCATTATTTCGTAATGGGAATTAAGTATGTAGAATGAATGTAAATTGATCCAATGGTGTCCAGACTGGTGCTATCATCATGCCAAATGTCCCCCATTTTTGACCTATTTCGTGCCATATTATTGGACTTGTAATGATGGACGGCCAAGATGTGGTATGCTATTTATTTCCTGCAATATTTGCTTGATCACTGATTGCTTGACTCACCACCAAAATCGTAAAAATCAGCACATTTTTAATCATTTCTCGCCTCTGGGAATTTATTTTAAAATTCTGGACCACGAATTTGTAGAGCAGGGAGTTGCCAATTTTTTGCAAAGTATACACTCCAGATTTTGACACATTTTGAAGGAGGAGATCTCAAGTTTAAGAAGCCTTCAGAAAAATTGGAACTCTTCGAAACTGGCTCAGAAAACTCAACGCCATTCCATCAATCAACTCACTGACGGCAAATTTGTCGTCCAGAATTTTAAAATAAGTTCCCAGAGGGGAAAGATTATTAAAAATGTGTAGAGATTTTGATAATTAAGGTGCTGAGTCGTTAATTACTTTGTCCTTTTTTATGTACGATGATTTTTCCGCAGTGACCGAGTACCGGGGATGGAAAGGCGTCTGTGGTGCCAACTTGTGTGAGTGCGACCGTCAATTTGCTCAGTGCCTGAGGAAGTATCCTTGTCCACGTTCGAGAGTATGTCACGCTAAAATTCGAATGAAATCGAAATTACGAAATTATTTTAAAGTTGTTTTTGTTTTACGTATTTTGCAGGCTATGTGTATGACCTCACCACTCAGGTTTTTACAAAATATGATGATATATTCCCGCTATCAGGCACCCCCACCTCCGCAGATTTACCATCACCATTTCTAAACCACAAACATGGACACTTTTGTGACGAAAATCTTAATTAATGACTTATATTTTTTGCCAACGTCAAATTCGACCATGATGCCGACGTGACGACAATGCACTGCAACGCCAAGCCACGCTACGCCACAAATATGTGTAAAATAAAAAATGCAATGCACTGCATGCTCACAAAGTCAGTATTCAAATGTAAATAAGTTTTTTTCGTGAGAAAATACTGTATCGTAATTAAATGGATTTGATTTAGTGGTTAATTTAGGTTTGAATAGTTTCAATGAATCATTTTTGTAGTTGACTTTTTTTCATAGTTTTTTTTTGAAAATTTGGAATTTCTTAGCTCGCTTTTGAAAAACTTTGAATATTTCTGGACTTGTTCACTCGCTTTTTGAAACTTTGTAATATTTCTTGACTTGCTTGCTCGCTATTAGAAAATTTGGAATATTTCCGGACTTGCTTACACTCGCTTTTTGCAGTTTTTTTTATCCCCCTGCATTTCCTATATAATTAACTTGCTTGCTTTTAATTAATATTTTAATATAATTAAGTAATTACGCATTTTAGATTAATTATTGTATGATTTTCTCTTTAGAAATCTTCCTGGACCGAACTTTTTCTTCCTGGCGTAATAAAACCGTCGGAAAATTATTATCTTCTATTAATTTTCGCAATTTTGTAATTCGCATCGTAATTTGTAGTATTCTAAATATTCTCAATATTTATATTTAATTAATTAAACTCCTTCCAGTAATAATCTGTTCAGTATTTGCGAAAAGTATTATATATTTTTTATACGAACTAAATATTCTTCAACTTTTTCGAGCAATTATGTAAATATTTAGGTAAGCGAAAAAAGAGAGTTATTTACAACTTAACTGAGGGCAATATCTAGTCAACGTTCTGATAAATTCAAGCCACAGTACACACCAGAACTAATTTAATTATAGTGTAAAATAATTAAGTAAGTAATCGCGGTTGAAATCACGAAATAATTAATGAATCAATGAACGAAATAAAATTGTGAAAATTGTGAAAATCTTGGTATCTTATTTCGGAAACTTATTCCTTCAGTTTTTCATTTTCAACGCTTTTAAATTTTTAGTTCCGGGATAATTATTTTTATGACAAAGTTTCACGTCGTATTACATAGTTAGCGCATTTAATTAATTGATTGTTGAGGAATTTTATTAGATTTTAACTCGGGAAGAAGGAAAATTGATAAATTAATTTAGATATTACGAAATTTTATTCAATTTCAATGTTTTCACGTTTTACCTCACAAGGATAATTCGGGAATACTGAAAATGAATTGTCAATTGTAATTTTTGATTCTACGAAATTTTATTCAATTTTTATCTCATAAAACGCATCCTCATCAAATTCATCCCCAATAATGCAAATTAATTGATGCAATAAGTAATTTCCATTCCGACCTACTTTATGTTCCCGACGGAAATTTTAAAAGTGCTGTCTCATCAATCATCACGAAGCATTGACCTGTAAACCCTAAAATATATAATCTAAATTAATAATACAATGCAATAATTTCCAAAATTCCCGATATACTTAAAATATGTTCCCGACAGAAATTTTAAGTGCTGTCTCTTCACGAAACATTGACCTGTAAGAAAAGATCGAGACAGATGCTTGATATCAATGCCGATCTACATAAAAAAATTGAGTTGAACCATCAATTATAAAACTGCTTATCAATAATTTTCCAATGTTTCTGAGCTATTTTATATTACGACGGAAATTTTAAAAATGTGCTGTCTCATCTCATCTCATCTAATCTCACCGATTATGACGAATGATTAGCCTGCAAAGACGGATGGATAACACGTCTCATAAATATCATCCTTTAATAATTTCCAAAATTCCCGATCTACTTTAAATAAATATATTTCCGACGGAAATTTTTTTAAAGTGCTGTCTCATCATCACGAAGCATTGACCTGTAAGGAAAGATCGTGACTGATGTATGCTTGAGGTCAGTGCCGATCTGCAAAGTTCCCAAATTGAGACTAGAATGAAATAAGAAGCCCAATTGGGTACATTAAAAAAATATTTATCAATTAATTACCGACCAATGCTAGCTATCTAACATATCTTCATCGGAAACATATTTCAATTTGATATATTTAAAGTAGCTCGAGAACATTGGAAATTACATTAATTAATTTACTAAAGATGATGATGATGATAAGGATTAGTAAAGATGATATTGATGAGGATGAGTTTAAATAAAATTTCGTGATGCATATATTAATTTGACAATTTTCAATATTCCCGATCTATTTAAAATATATATTCCCGACGGAAATTTTAAAAGTGCTGTCTCATCATTATCACGAAGCATTGACCTGTTGAAAGGAAAGATCGAGACGGATGCTTGAGGTCAGTGCCGATCTGCAAAGTTCCCAAATTGAGACTGGAACCATGCCGGAGTCAGAAATCGAGTAGAGTGCATTACCCCCAAGTGGACGCCAAAGTCTCCAATTCGGCTGCTGCTGGATTTTATTTCTCACTTGGATTCACTCTTCGGCTCAACCGGTCACCTCTTCTTTCCTCTCTCGCTGGACTGGAAATTCTGCTGGAAACTTATTTTTTTTTACTTTTCAAGAAAGAAGATAAGGTAAGTAAGCTGGTTATCTGTTCCTTGTCCCCCTTATTTAAATAGTTTTTCTGCAGTTTCATCTGGAAATCTGCTGGATTTTTGGTTTTCTCACCTTCTCTCCTTGGCTCAACTGGTGGTCTTCTTCTCTCTCTTGTGGAAATTCTGCTGGAAACTTATTTTTTACTTGGGAAGAAGATAAGGTAAACATGACAAGTCTTTGCTACCTTATCGAAATAGTTTTTTTTATTCATTTCATCTCAAAATCGGGTGGATTTTTGATTTTCTCACCTTCTTCAGTTCAACCGGTCAATGACCTCTTCTCTCTGCTGGAAATTCTGGAAACTTATTTTTTTACTTTCGAAGAAGATAAGGTAACAAGTCTTTTCTACCTTATCAAAATAATTTTCTCTATTAGTTTCTTTGCTTTTTACAAACTGTAGTAAATTTATTGATTCCAATTTTTTTAAAAAAAGGTCGGAATTTTGAAAGGGTGTGGTCATCATCGCGGTTTGGCTTATCGGTTATCAATTCTTTTTGAGTGGGGGTTCCTAAAAATACACAATTTTCCTATTTTACCTTCCAAGACGAGAAGATGAAATTAGAACGGACTCAAGTCACTGACCCCACGTTGGGCACGTTCAACTGGTGCAAGTTTAGTGCAACACATAACGATAAACGCGGATTTAAATGCATCTTTAGCGAATGTGCTACGATTTTTCGAAAAAGGGAAGATGCCCTCCACCATGTGAACAAGTTCGATTTGGAGCAACACATCCGTTTTGGTGAGTGGTGTTATTTTTTTTCTTGATTTTTGACATGTTTCCGACCAAAGTACTGTCTCATTTTGCCTCGTCCATGAATCATTAACCTGTAAAAAAAGTCGTAATTAGATTCATGACGATCGATGAGATGAGATGAGACAGCACTTTTAAAATTTCCGTCAGAAACTTAAATACAGGGTCTAAATTTCATGATACAGGGTTGGTCAAGCCATCCAACAAGTTTCGTCGCCTTTTTATTGGTGATACTCCTCCTCAAGAGGATCATGATCTGGCCACCATCATGGGTCAATCGGAGGCTGAAATGTCCCAGAACTTCTACGCCAAGTTTGAAGAATGCACTCGGAAGTTGAAAGAAACCAGTGTTGGGGAAGTAGACGTTTCTTCTTCTTCTTCAGAAGACGGGGAGGACGACGATGAGGACGATCATACTGGCGACATGCAAATTGATACGAGCCAAGTTGATGCATTCTTCGATGACAGCGCGATTCTAGAAGATTTCGAGGGTTTGAAGAATTTGATGGAGACTGAACCCAGTTGTTTCAATTCAATCCTTCAAGCTCCACTGCGTGGCAGCTATTTGCATGGCAAGTATGGCAAGTATTCGAAGGAAGAATTGCGGAAGATGAAGTGGATGGATATCTACGATGAAGCAAGTGTTGGTGGAATTACGATCAAGACGAGTGATCAGGTGAGTTATTATTGATTTGAATTATTTCGAGAGTTTCCAGAATGGTCTGGGTCTCCCAGTGGGTGGATGTGTACAGATTTTGGCCAATCTAGTGTTAATCGATGATGAATTTAATTAATAATTAGTATGAAATTTGACACCATTTCCCAATGGGCACGTTTGGCCGAGATATTTGCATCTGAAGAGGAGAAAACCCGCAGTAAATTTGGAAAGTAGATAATTTGTCAACTTTACGGCGGGTTTTCTCCTCTTCGGATGCAAACATCTCGGCCGAACGTTCCTATTGGGAGATCGTGTCTGGTGCAAATTTCATACTAATTACTAATTAAATTCATTATCGATTAACACAAGTTTTGCCAAAATCTGTACGCATACGTTTTGAGACCTTAATTGTTAGCATTTTTTTACTAAAATTTTGCAGTTGAAACTTGAAAAAACGAGCGACAACTCGTCCAACAAAACGGAGGAGCGTCCTTGTTGCTCTTACTCTTCTTCTTCTTCTTCCTCTTCAAACTGTCCTTCAACTAGTAGCAGCAGTGTCGGAGGCAGGTCTTTAGGATTATTACAACTCTTGGATGCCGGTTACAACGTTGGCTGCTCTTCTAGTGACAAGCCCATCAAGCTAGACAATATTACTCTAGAAAGCATGTTGGAATCTAGCGCCAAGATTGTGGGACGAGGTCGTATTCCCTCGAGACGAAATTGGAAAACTCTACCAAAATTGCCAGAGAGAGAAATGGCCAAGCATCGAAGAGTTGTACACAGAGAAAAAAAAGCTCGGGCCGAACTTGAAGAAAAACAGAGGATGGAAATGGGTCAAGATAAGGATGAAATCATGCAACCTACGGAAGAATCGTGCTCGGCTGAGACTAAACGACGGGTCAAGATCGAGACGGAGGAGGATAAGGAAAAAGAAGATGTGCCTGTCGTTCGAAGCACGGTTGCACCCCCTCCAATTTCTGCTGCTCCAGTTGCACCCAGATCAACTTTTGTTGCTCCTGTAGTTACGCCCCCTTCAATTTCTGTTGCTCCAGTTGCTCCTCATCAAGAGGGCCCACTTTACTACTCGTACAGCTTCATTTACGAGACTGGACTGAAAAATAAGCCCAAATTTGCGTGAGTTTTGGAAATTTTTATTTAATTTTTACAATTTTTAGTGTAAAAATTTAATTTTTACAATTTTTCGTAACAATTTATACAAATTTATTATTATATATACTTACAGACAAAGTGGAAATCAAAAGCCGTACCACTGCCCAGTCCCGGACTGTCCAAAAACCTACAAGAACGCGAACGGGCTCAAGTATCACGCCATTAATGCTCACAACCCTCCGCAAATTTACAAATGCGACCAGTGCAGCAAATTGTACCAGACGAAGAGCAGTCTCGACAAGCATATCAAGGCGCACACTCAACCTCCTCGAGCAGTACCGGCGAACAGTTCTCGCAGCGGAAAATTGCACCCACCAGCGCCCAAGAGGAAGGCAGTCGCAGTCACCCCAACGACAAGCCAACCTTCGGATACTGAATCAGAAACGGAAGTTGATCACGGAACCAAGGAGCAGCAACAGGTTCAACAAACTATCGTTCCACCACAACCACAACCCACTGTCACCCCCATCGTGACCCCCATGCCAGCCTGGGAGTCACCAAGTGCATCGTCGTCGTCGTCATCATCTTCCTCAGGACTTTCTCAGTTTGAAAATTACCCATACTTCCATCAACAACATTTTGGACAACGTCCACCACCACAACAACAACAGCACTCGTCTGGTTCACTGTATTCGAGCAGTTGTGGTGGAGATTCTATCAAGACTCCGGATCACCGTGAGGTTGAAGAACTTCGTGCTATTCCGACTTCCAGTCCAATCTCGTTTGATCTCGATTTTGATCCGTCCCTCTTGTCGAATGAGGTTTTGGAAGACAGCAATGATTCTTCCGATGTCGGGGCTGCCTTCCAGGACAGCATGTTGTATCCAAGCATGCCGAAACTTGAGCTGGTCATGCATACGCCGCGTAAAGCGGCGCCACAGGTAAATAAATAGAGACAATCTTAGAAATCCAGTATTAAAAAGTGGCCTAGTTAGCTCGCTGTTAAAGTTTCGGTAGCAAATTTTTGCGGACCGGTATAATTTTAATGCCAAGTGGTAGCAAATTTAATACCGAGAAATCAATACCTGCGTGACTTTACTAGATTTCTAACAGTGAACAATTAATTAATTAAATTAGTTTTGTCTCATTTTGCTAAATCGTGTCATTTTTTTCGAATTTGCAGTACGAAAGGACATACGGACTTCCGCCCCAACTGAAGCGAAAGGATAGGTCATCCGCTCCAATGACGGCGTCGCAAATGTACTTCCATGAACGGGCTGGACCCCAGTCGAACATGTACTATCAAAATTAGGAACTCAATTACTTCGTCTACCATTTAGTATTATTATTCAGTCAAAACAAGTCAAGTTATTCAGTCAAAAGTTATATTCAGAGCTTTAATTGCAAATTGGTGATTTAATTCTGTGAATTTTAGTTAATCATGTTCAAAAATTTTAGTCAATATTTATTTGTTCTTGGGTTGTGTTTTGTGTTCCTGAATTGTGTTTGCTTGTTAAAATTTATTTGTTTATTTGTTCTTGTTTGTTCTCGAGTTCTGTTCTTAAATCGTGTTCTTTTGTTAAAATTTATTGTTTTTAAGAAGTGCAACCTAACCAGGGTTTGCTTTTAATCAAAAATTGCTGTTTTTATATAGAAATTCTATGCAATATATGCATGGCAAATTTTAACCCGTATTTTTATACTGTTCAAAAAATGTGAAAGAATAATAAAGTGTGTTTTTAAATAACTTTTTATTTCTCTTTTTATCCATTTCTCAAAATATTCTATATAAAAATGAAGTAATTACAAATTGTACGTTCTTCTGGAATGGCTTATCGATACAGTTATGTATGTAAATAGTATTATGGCAATAATATAAAAGTTAATTACAGATAATTAGTTGCTTTGGTCAGCAGGAGACACTTATCTAAGGAAGTTTTTGTATTATGATTATTATCTGCGACCAGATCTTTCCGGTGGGTTTGTTCTCAATTGTTCAATCATGTCGACAATTTTGTCCGCAAGGTCACGATCCGTTCCAAGGCACTGAAGTCGAACGTAGCGAAGGTCTTCTTCATTTTTCCTGTCCATAGCGAGCTTAGCGGCTTCCTCGAAAAATCTGGGGACAAAAGTTAAAATTATCAACAGATTGTGTTTAGTTTAACGTAGGACTTATCATTAAAATCGTCACATTTTTAAATTATTTCTCGGCTTTGGAAATTTATTTTAAAATTCTGGACGACAAATTTGTAGTCAGAGCGTTAATTGATGGAATGGCGTTGAGTTTTTTAAGCCAGTTTCGACATGTTCCAATATTTCTGAAGGCTTCTTAAACTTGAGATCTCCTCTTTCAAAAAGTGTCAAAATCTGGAGTGTATATTTTAAACAAAATTGGGAACGACCTGCTCTACAAATTTGGCGTCCAGAATTTTAAAATAAATTCCCAGAGTGGAGAAATGATTAAAAATGTGCTAATTTTGACGATAAATCCTCGAGTATTAAGTTAATTATTGACTAAATGTACTTACTTTGCCATGCAATAATATTTAACTTGAAGTTCATCCCTCACTTTAGGCAAGTATTTGTTGGCCTCTCGCCGATTTCCGAATTGGACACAGATTTCGACAAATTCCTAAATTTCCATATTAATTGTAAACATAATTTTGTTTACCACCCAATTTTTATGCAATTTGACAAAACTCTACATACCTCAAAACCACCCAACGTTTTCTTGGTTTTCGCCATCTTTTCAATCTCTGTCCAATCTCCTTGTTCCGCATACGTTTGGAGTCGAATGCTCCAATACCTGAAACATTTTGACAAAAAATTAGAAATTGAAATGCATACAAATTAGACAGGAAATCGTATGAATTAAAATTATTAAAAATTACGTCTTGTCCGAAACTTTAAACTCGCTCTTTAACTTTTCCGCTAACTTGATCTGTTTCAAAACCAACATTGCCTTAATTGTGTCACGGAGCGAGAGGCTGGTAAAAGTTTGTCCGAATTGTTGATCCCATTGTTGCTGATATTTTAAAAGCTTGTGCTGTTCTTCACAGAGATTCGCGAGGAAGTCGTTTTTTCCCTTTTTGTACATTTCTTGAGCCGAGACGAGGGCGGAGAGTTGAGAGGCGACTCGCTTTTGGGAAGGAAAATTAATTTTGAAAAAAAGCTTAAACGAAATCAAAATATTTTTGATAACCGTATTTTTGATAACCATTTCCGTACCGTGTCTTTATAACTCTCTTGAACAAAAAGGGCACCTTGCTGTTGGAAATCGTCCTCCTGTTCGTAAATGTCTCGAACAGCTTCGGGGTTAAAGGTCTTGCAGTATTTGATGTACAGATTTTGAGCAATTGGATATTTACGAATTAGCATCTGAAATTAGGCAAAGTTAGTTAATTGCAAAAATATGTGGGGCATGTTTCCAGATTTTTTTTTCCACCTGAAACTCTGATAGTTGCATGGTGCGTTTAAGATTGAGAAGAACGTCATAAATTATATTTGCATCGCCACTCTCGACCGCGTTATGCAGGGCGGTCGTGTAGTCGCCAAGTTTTAGGAAGAGAGGAACTTGAACGCTGCGACGAACTTCGAATTGGGCCAGCTATTTAGAAAGGAGTTATTTTTAATTAATTAAGGAATTAATAATGCGGATCCCCCAGCGAATGCTATCCTATTTTGACCAAACTAGTGCCTATCGATCACAAGTTTAATTAATATGAAATTTTACGAAAGGCTCGATCTCCCAATGGGCACGTTTGGCAGAGATATTTGCATACCAAGAGGAGAAAACGCGCAGTAAATTTGGAAATTGTAAAATTTGTCGACGATAGGACTCGTTTTGTCCTCTTGGGATGCAAATATCTCTGCCAAACTCCAAATGTGTCATTGGGAGATCGTATTCTTTGCAAATTAATTTCATATTAATTAAAGTTGTGATCGATTGACACTAATTTGCTCAAAATCGGACAGCATATGCTGGGAGACCTCCATTGTAAGAATTGACAACGTTAAAAAACCCACATGCAACGCGAGCCTTTTTCTCCCAGCTTCAGAAGCTTTATTTGCTATTTCACTGTAACTGATGTTTGTATCAGATTTTAATTTGGCATAAATTTCCGACGCTAATCTGCTCTCTTCGACGTGAGTTTGTCCAACCTGCGGATTGATAAATACATTGTAGATTGGTGATCCATTAAAAAATATGATTTGCTTGTCTTTCTAAAACCTTGTAACACGCCCAATGCGCCAAAATCCGTGATCTTCCTTGTGTTTCTCGTAATTTTAAAAATTCCGCAATTTTAATTGCTAATGCGTATTGTCTTCTGAGAACTAGGCGATCAATTAAAACTTGAATTCCCATATTGTCCAATCTATCAAGATTTTTAATAAACTTGTTTTAAAGCATTACTTTCAACATTTACAAATGTAAAACTTACTGCGTGTACGTGAGTGGAATGGCAATCTTGTAATCCTTGACGGCATTCAAAACGCGTAACATTTGGCACATGTGGACATAATCTTCGGGGCTGTACTTTGTCAAGAAACATTTTCCGAATTGGGCGGCCTATAAGAATAATTAGAATAATTAGAAATAATAATCGTAACTTATGTTAACTTGACTCATCGCCAATATCGCCACATCTTAAATCTTCCTTGACCCTGGGAATTTATTTTAAAATCTTGGACGACAAATTTGTAGAGCAAGTCCAGTTTATTAAAAATATACACTCCAGATTTTGAGTTTTTGACGGTGGACATGTCAAGTTTAAGAAGCCTTCAGAAAAATTGAAACTGACCGAAACCGGTTTAAAAAACTCACGGTCATTCCATCAATCAACTAACTGACTACAAATTTGTTCAGAATTTTAAAATAAATTCCCAGACCCGAGAAATAATTAGCAATGCGTTGATTTAGACGATTTTGGCGAAAAGTCATCCAGTTCTACGTTACGGGGGACAATTATTTTCCTACTTTTAGCAACATTTTCTGTGTGGGTGGATAAAATTCGTGTCCCGCTGCAGTGACGCATTGTTCCACGGCCGTTTTAATGTCAGTGATCATCCTGATGTACTCGTCCGCCTTGTGACTTCCTTCATTAAACTTTTTCGACGCTTCGAGCAACACGGATCCCGGTGCGACGGAACCAATCCCGAATATGTCGTTACTTTCTTTGGGGACTTTTTGTATTATTTCGTGCGTATAGTTGCCCACAACGCGGACGCAGTCGATTTCAGGAACAAGGGCGAACTGACTGTCCATCGTGAAGGTGAGCGTGTTTCCGTTAAGGCTGACTAGAAGGAGGGAATTGTCCCAACTTATCACGACCGCTTTAGAACCGCACCTATGAAGATAACACAAGGATGAATTTTAGATAAGCCTCGTCCTCACAAAATAATTCAAATATAAACGTCAGTGGGAAGCCGTGGGGATATCAGCATAATCGATAATCGAATAACTGTGTGGACATTGTCCCTCTGTCCGCACCCACTTATTAACCTACCAAACCATTTGTCTCGGTTTTGTCCTCAGTCCGGCAGCATGTTCGCAATATTTGTTCTCCAAATCGGACGATCCTAGCCAAAGCACCCCGGAATCGGTTAACATTGCGATATGGAGTCCATTCAGGGACGCAGCGACACACGTTATTGACGCGTTTGTTCCTGCGGCCGAGCTGAACTCGGGGCAAACCTGGGTGCATTCGGATCCATCGACGAGATAAGTGAGGGATCCTCTCGCGACGAGAACTTGGGTGGGTTTCTGAGGTTGGTTGGACGATGAAGATGAAATCACCGTCCAGGCCGTGATGGCGATGCCACTTCCAGCAACGGGACAGTACCGTTTGACCCGAGCGTTCTTGTAATTGTTCATGACGACAAAGTTGTCCCGAGTGGTGAGGTAGGCGACCCCGGTGCCGGAACTGGAGAGAAATATTTCGGCTTCGTACGCTTTTTCTTTCGCTTCCTGTTTAGATTAAAAAATGTTATTTAGTTAAGTGATGATTCTTAACTCATGGCCAAAATATTAATCAAAAGCAGCACATTTTTAATGATTCATCGGCTGTGAGAATTGATTTTAAAATTTTAAATTTTACACGACAAATTTGTAGAGCTGGTCGTTGCCTATTAAAAAAAATATACGCTCCAGATTTCGACACTTTTTGAAGGAGGAGAGTTTAAGAAGACTTCAGAAAAATTTAAACTCGTCGAAACTGGCTCAAAAAAAGCACGGTCATTGAGCAATCAACTTGCTGGCCATAAATTTGTCGTCCAGAATTTTAAAATAAATTCCCAGAGCTGAGAAATGATTAAAAATGTGCTGATTTTGGTGATTAGTCATCGAGTCCTCTACGTTAAATTAAAGTTAAATGATTATGAATATGGTACGGAATTGATAAACAATTTTTTGCATTACATTTCCGAGCGGACATTTAACCGTTTGTTTCGATCTCCCAAACAAATCGTACACCAGGACGTTTCCGTCTTCTTGAACACATAGTAAATCCTCGGATGTTGACCACCCCATTTTAACCAAGGTGCCCGAGTCCCACTGAAATTAGCGAGTCAATTAATTAGTTATTTAACCCATTTATAAACAATTTATAAACCAGACGATGATTTAGTACCTTAATTGATGCAATATTCCCTCCCGATGACGTGTACAAGTTAATGATTGGTTTAACCGGAACATTTTGCGTCACTTTAAGGAACTTTTTATCATCTCGAATAGTCGCCAATGGTCCGCCGTAGGAGGCACCGACGACACAAAAGTTTTCGACATCGACTCCCGGACTCCATCCCATCGAGTAGAGTTCAACCTTTCGATAATAATCTTTCCCCACATTGTGCCAGTCCCCCGTGTAGAATATGCTCATCTTTAAAAGATAATTTGTTTCCTAATTAATTAGTTAGTTAATTTTAATAGTAAATTTTTGGAGCAAGTAAAACACCCACAAATAAATAGAATCACTGTCATATGAAGATTTTTGTGTATGATTCAACTTCAAGAGGACGAACGGGCAAAGTGAAACGATGAAATGGAATAAAAAGTCAGTCATGCTTTCATACGATGAAGAATGCAAAACTTATCACGTTTGGCGACGATAATGGCGAAATTTGTCGAAATTGTGTTAATATATGCAAGCATATTGAATGGCTAAAAACTAGGAAAATTTTGAATTAGTAGAAATAAGTAGTTTTAACAGCTAAAATCGAATTCATACATAAATTTTATGCAATTTTTTACGTATCTATTTTTTTAATGAGTCATGAAACGAATGTAACTACAATTTCAATTTTTCCACATTTTGTGCAAATTTTTAACTTCTTTCGAGATGAATCCGATCTATAAGTTATGGTCTAAAAAAATGATAAATATTTAAATATTTAACAATGGACTCTTTGGTTGTACAAATCTCTGAATTATGTATGAAATAATTAATGTATTATCTATTTTTGAAAGTAAAATTTTTGAAGGTAAAAAAGTCGCTCATTTATTGAAAATTAAAGTAAAATTATCCATTAAAAAAAATAATAATTGTTATAATTAATTTTCATAATTTACAAAATTTGTAAATGAAGGAATGTGCATTCTGAAAGCACAACACGACGCCCACACACTAACCGACCCAGCAAGTTCTATGGAACAAGGAGTGTGAACGCCAACCCATTGTCTTTCTTTCCAAGCGTTGTTTTACTCCTGCGCAACTTAGCATGTAGATTTTCTCCGAGGTGGAAAATTGATGGATGCGTCTAAAAAGTAAGCATTTTACTTGGATATGAATTATTTGGAAGTAAGTATTTTTTTCCTTGGTTGGATTATTACAATGCAAGGTATTTGTTCAGTATGCAGATTCATTTTATGATAATTGTCTCATTTCCTCCCTTTTCTTGGAACTTTTCAGAGTTAAAAAGACAAAATATGAATGAACAATGGTGATTTGCTTTGTTCTGGGTATAAAGCAATTTAGTTTGTTTATTCATTCTATTTATCAGATAAATAGAATTTATCATTTTTACAATAAATCCTCATCGGAATCTATGCATTCTTCGAAATAATTGCAATTTTGCAATTAACCCTGCCAACGGAAATTTGCAGCAAAATACTTCAAAAACTTCGTCATAAATTTGAGATCAGTTGCCCCTCGGTCTTTGCAGACGACAGACGTGTCTCCTTCTCTCTCTCCCACTTTTTGAAAAATTTTCTCCTTTTGCCAAGAAATTTTCTGGATAATCTCTTATCTTCTCGTTCTCCTCCCCCTGTGGAAATCTAGCTGTCTAAATAACATTTCGTTTATCAATAGTCAATCATGAGGGAAATCGTTCATATTCAGGCTGGCCAGTGTGGAAATCAGATTGGAGCAAAGGTAATTATGTGAAGGGGTTCGAAAATTTTGAGATTTCCGAGCATTTTTAGAGGGCATTTGTTTCATAGAGGGTCGTAGAAGTTCGGGGATTTGGGAAAAATAGGGGGATTAGATAAGAAAAATTGGTGAGGGACGAGGTGAAAAAGGGGTCAATGACCTTTCACCTTTGTGACGAATATGATAACCTATTTATGGATATCGTGGTGGATGTTGATAACCACTTAAATTCTAAATTAAAAAGTTTGTTTTCTATTATTTTTCCAGTTTTGGGAAGTCATCTCCGATGAGCATGGTATCGACCCCACCGGAACGTACAGAGGCGACTCGGATCTCCAACTGGAGCGAATTAATGTCTACTATAATGAAGCCACCGGTAAGTTATAATAGTAGATAATTATGCAGCATCTAATTAATTTTTTCCCCAGGTGGAAAGTACGTCCCCCGTGCCATTTTAATCGATCTTGAACCTGGTACCATGGACTCTGTTCGATCTGGTCCGTTCGGTCAACTCTTCCGCCCCGACAACTTCGTCTTTGGTCAATCTGGAGCTGGAAATAATTGGGCGAAGGGTCACTACACCGAAGGCGCAGAGCTGGTCGACTCTGTCCTGGACGTCGTACGGAAGGAGGCGGAGAGCTGTGATTGTCTGCAAGGCTTCCAAATGACGCACTCTCTCGGAGGTGGAACCGGATCCGGACTGGGAACTTTGCTAATCTCTAAAATCCGTGAAGAATACCCGGACAGGATTATGTGCACGTTTAGCGTCGTCCCCTCCCCAAAGGTAACAAAGAATTAGATATATTTCCATCCAAAGAGGAGAAAATGTGCCCCAAAGTTAGCTAATTTTTTCGCTTTCCAAATTTACTGGGTGTGTTCTCCTCTTCAGATGCAAATATTTCTACCAAACGTGCCCACTGGGAGATCGTTTCTTTTGAAAATTTCATACGAATTAAATTTGTGATCGATTGACACTATGACATGTAATTGTGGATGATTCGCTAACTAACTATTTGCTGTGTATGCAGGTATCTGACACCGTCGTCGAGCCGTACAATTGCACCTTATCGGTCCACCAGCTCGTCGAAAATACGGATGAAACCTACTGCATTGACAACGAAGCCCTGTATGACATCTGTTTCCGAACTTTGAAGCTGACCACCCCCACCTATGGAGATTTGAACCATCTCGTCTCCGCCACAATGTCCGGTGTCACGACCTGTCTCCGCTTCCCTGGTGAGTAAAATAATAGTATTGGTAATTAAATACAAATTAGGACAGACATAAATTAATTGTGTATGTTTTGTGTAGGTCAACTAAACGCTGACTTGAGGAAATTGGCCGTCAACATGGTCCCCTTCCCTCGTCTCCACTTTTTCATGCCGGGATTCGCCCCACTCACGTCGCGAGGATCACAACAATACCGAGCTCTCACCGTCCCAGAACTCACGCAGCAAATGTTTGACGCCAAGAACATGATGGCTGCCTGTGACCCCAGACATGGACGATACCTGACGGTTGCCGCTATCTTCAGGGGGCGCCTCTCAATGAAGGAGGTGGATGAACAGGTGAGCCATAAAATGAAATAATTTCTCAGGAATTTGGTTTTCCGGGCTGTTACACCCAGAAAAAAAAGACGAAAATCTACGTAGAGAAGGCAAAAGTCGTACGAAAATACGGGTTTTATGAATAAATTAACTTTTATCGTAAGGCCTGACTGCTACCTTCTCCACGTAGATTTTTGTCTTTTTGTGGGTGTAACATCCAAACCCTGGGAAGAACGGAGCTCAAAAATACTGTATTTTGAACTATTTTGCCAACAACCCCTCCAATTTCCGACTTTATCTCACCAACTTATCTTCCCAAATTTAGATGCTCAACGTCCAAAACAAGAACTCATCCTACTTCGTCGAATGGATCCCGAACAACGTCAAGACCGCCGTGTGTGACATCCCTCCCCGAGGATTGAAAATGTCTGCCACCTTCATCGGAAACAGTACATCGATCCAAGAACTCTTCAAGCGAGTTTCGGAACAATTCACGGCCATGTTCCGGCGAAAGGCGTTCCTCCATTGGTACACGGGCGAGGGGATGGACGAGATGGAGTTCACCGAAGCAGAGTCCAACATGAACGACTTGGTGTCCGAGTATCAACAGTATCAAGACGCCACGGCCGAGGAGGAAGGCGAATTCGAGGAGGAAGAAGGCGAAGGTGAAGATGCTTAAAGAAGAAGAGGAAATAAATCAACGACAAAATCAGCCTAAATTTTTAATTCAATCGTTTTTAAAAGTGTGTAATAATGAAATGAGCTTCGTAATTGTATTTACATCGCATGTAAAATGAAAATGAAATGATGGTATTTATTTTATGTATGAAATGAAAATGAAAAGTAAAACCGGCATGTTTTTCAATTGTTAAAATAATTGTGGGTGAAATTGGTGGATTGCTTTTCTTGTAAGATAATTAATAGTTAGTTAACTATTGTTAAGTTTAGTCGATAAGATGTTATCTTTGCATAATATCTTGGAAACTTGAGATTATGTAACATGGGATCAAAATTGAGACGGGATTTGTAAGCGCAGAGGTTGAATGAGAAACTGGGCAGTGAAACTCACGTCACTCTTTCCTACGTCTGTGAAGCTGTACCTGGGTTTGAGTGCACTGCTGCCGCCCACCGTCCAGCTTCCTACCGCCAACCGCCGCCTATCTTCCTACCGCCTACCCGCAGATGCCAATGCTAAAAAACCTTGTACATGGACTTCTCTCACCCTATGCCGTACCATAATACCACAAAATGTTAATTTTACTCTAAAATACTCAAGAAATCCCGAAAACCAAACAACAAACTAATAAAATAGTCCGCATAGGTTCCTAGCGCGGGATTTCAAACTACCGCCTCCATGCTCACATATGTTATCGACCGCACCCCCGGTCATCATTTAATGCGGACCCGCACCCGCCAGATCCCTCTGGTCAAAATTACCAAACCGGTAAAAGTCATGACTTGACTTTTTGCTAGTTTCGACTTTGTCTCCGTTTCCTCAAGCGGGATTTCAAACTACCGCCTCCATGCTTACATATGTTATCGACCGCATCCCCGGTCATCATTTAATGCGGACCCGCACCCGCCAGATCCCTCTGAAAACGAAAATGAAACCGTACGAGTTCACGCACCTTTAGCTGATGTACAACTCGATGTGGACACAGTTTGTACTGTCCTTGGCATTTCTCAGGAAGAACTGAATTATATTCCGCCTAAAAAAATGACAGTTATATTTTCCCCAAACGAAGTTTCCAAATTTTTTGACTACAAAACCTCAAAATTTGTAGAAAACAAGATTCGTGAGGACGTTATTTCGCAGAAACTTCGGGAAGCTGGCATCCTTTGCCCTTTTAAGAATAGGCGGGAGCCCTATTATTATTCGGAGAGGAAAAAAGATCAGCCATTCGCTCGACAGGAAGGATACTGCTCATGTGGAATCAAATTTCAAGTAACTTTCCCATGCAAACCAATCCAGGGAGAGGCCTTGGAAACTACCTTGGAATCTTTCGGAGTTTTCACCCTCGTCCAAGGAAAAAGGACGTCAAGGCCAATCACGGGGATCGAACGAGAAAAACTATCAAACCAATTATCAACTACATCGGCAGCAAAGATATTTCTCACAGACTTGAGCCATGTGAAAGGGCTCCAGCTTTTACATAAAAGCGTTCCTCCCAGTGCAGACGCTCTACGAACTGTGAAATCAGAGTCCAAAGGAAAAGTCAGACTAGCTTCTAATATATTCGACGACTTGAGGTTGTTGAAAAATCACTACCAGACAAGCCACAACGCCAACGCCACAATTTGTGGTTACATCCAAGATTTTAACTTGGATGCAAAACTTTTTAGGCTGGATCTTTTCGACCAGCAATCAATAAAATTATTTACGGACACAATTTCACGAGAACATGTTATTGTGGGAATTGATGCGACAGGAGGTATTTTAAAGCCCCTACCACGAGATGCCCTATATCCTAGCAATGATCCTGCTGACAAAACTCACAGGAACAAAAGGAACACATTGTTATTGTACACTATTGTGGCACAAACGAAGCAGGGAAGCTTCATTGTGGCTGACAGTGTTTTAATGCGAGGTCAATCCAATGATATTGCGGGTCCTCTTACTAGCATCAAGCGAGGCGTGAAAAATTACGCCCATATCAGACCAAGAGTGCCCCTGATGTAATATTACCGACTTTAATTTCGCCATGCTTCATGCTGTGTCTGAGGGATATAACACAATGAAACTAGAAGAATATTTGAAGAAAAGTTACGCCGTCCTCAAAAACGAGGACACGTTTGCTGGAGATACGGCGTGCATACAATTGTGTGCATCTCATTTGACAAAGTCATTTCTTGACAATGTTCGCAAGAAAACCGTTGGGCATAAATTTCGAAATGAGATCGTGGACGCAAGCGTACGAGGGTTAGCCAAATTACAAGAGGCGTCAACGTTAAACGACGTGGAAATCGCCATGAAGGGTATATGTACCCTATTTGGGAAGGAGAAGATGTCCCCCGAAGATGTCCAACACAACCTCGCGCGAATCAAGTCAATTTCTCTTGAAGAATGGGTGGATGGGGACGTTATAGTGGATGACTATGCAGGATCAGACGAGGAAGAAGTAAACGCAAGTAGGTTATTACGTGAGAAGTTGCCATTCTACCACACTTTTCAGAAAATAAGAAGAATTGAAGAAAAACACGTGAATGAGGATGCAGAGTTGAACCCATTTTACAATCCTGCTGTGCTGAACGTGTTTGAAAACACATACGCCCCATACGTTGGAATTTTCGCACGTGGAGTTGTGCAGCAAACCAAGAACGCCAACTTTGTCCGGGCAACGAATGGATCATGTGAATCAGAGTTTCGGCTATCAAAGCAAAATCTTATCGTGGAACCGGAAAATGTCGCCGACTTTGTTCGGCATCGCTTTGAAATTACAAATGGTAAAAACAAAAAATTTTTATTCGACAATCTACCAAAGAAAACAGCAAGCAAAGAAGTTAAGCTAGTTACAAAAACGCTGCAAAATGACGACGAAATCGAACGTGGAGATATTCCAAAGGGACTAATTCAAGAAGAAGTTCAAGAATGCAAGGAGACATGGAGCAAAAGAAAAAAAGGCGAACGAAAAAATAGATATTTACATAATAGGACTGAGCTTACCAAGCTTGACGAGGAGAAGGCAAGAGAGAATGCAAGGGTTCAAAAGATTGGGAGAGACAGGTCTTCTCAACCCCTCCAACAAGTTCTTACTCTGAACAATCAAAATAATGTAGCACGAACTATGGATGGATGTTTGGAGACTCGGTAATGTAGTATTTAATATTTAAACAAACTTTAATAACCGCTTAACATCGTATTCTATAAAAATACCCGACTGAAAGATGTTTTATTATAGTGTAAATACTAATTTCTTCCTATACAAATTCGGGAAAAATAGGCAAAGGCGTAATAAAACATCCGCGGAAGAAGAGGAGACTACCACAGCTAACCTGGAGTCAAAGTTCAGGAAAATAGTCTCTGACATTCTGACGGATCAGCAAGGGAATTCTGGTCTGATTAGCCTAATTGAATTTTTGCAAACGTTTATTGCCAAATTTCTTATAACAGTTATAACAATAAAAATCTCTTATATTCTTAGCTAAGCAATCGCTGCGGAAGCAAGTTTGGGGTGAAGAATTTGTCACCCAGGAGAAACAACAATATCAGCGATATAAGTAACTTGCAAATACATAATAATATGGACGATGAATTTAATCGTAATTATTGTACAGAATCGTTGAGAATCTTACTGAGGATTCACTCATGATGGCTTACTCCAACATTAAAGAAGACATAATGGAACTTTACGTGGCCAATCGGGATGAATTTGTCGGCGGCTACAAATGTGCTCGACAAAAGGTCGCTAAATTTTCCCAGCTATTTAACTAGAACCTGATATAGTAATATTCTAATACATTATTTACGCAGATGTGGGTGGAACGAAAGCCAAACTTTTCTGGAAATTTGCAGCAAATGGTGGTATCATATCCATTTACCACAAAATCTTGCTCTAAGATATGTTCCACAGTTTCCTCCAAAAGCTTAAAAACATCTCTGCTCTAGGATTTGAAGTATCTTTACAATGATTATTTCACAATTTACATTTAAGTAACAACCGTTCTGCTTCCCGAAACACTGGAGCTAATTTACTCTGATGTCTTGAAAATACCACTTCACCAAGCAAGAAAAGAGCTTTCCAACATCTCGCCATTTGACTAACTTGATAAGCTTATAAATTTAAGTTATACGAATCTATAGTACATGTTCATTATTGAGAATCAAAGTAAAACTAAGGAAGAAGGCAAAAGTAACTCTGAGTTTATTTATATGGTTTATATGGATCCGATCCATCTGGAGGGTGCGGGTCCACACCAAAAGATGACCAGGGGTGTGGTCGGTAATACATGCAAGCATGGAGGCGGTAGTTTGAAATCCCGCTGTAGGAAACGGCGACAAACTCAAAATTAGCAAAAACTCCAAGTTATGACTTTTACCGGCTTGCTAATTTTGACCAGTGGGATTTGGCGGGTGCGGGTCTGCATTAAATGATGACCGGGGGTGCGGTCGATAACATATGTGAGCGTGGAGGCGGTAGTTTGAAATCCCGCTGTAGGAAACGGCAACAAAGTCAAAATTAGCAAAAACTCCAAGTTATGACTTTTACCGGCTTGCTAATTTTGACCAAAGGGATCTGGCGGGTGCGGGTCCGCATTAAATGATGACCGGGGGTGTGATCAGTAATATATGCAAGCATGGAGGCGGTAGTTTGGAATCCCGCTGTAGGAACCTATGCGGATTATTTTATTAGTTTATTAGTTAGTTTTCTGGATTTTTTTAGGAATTTAGAGTAAAATTAACATTTTGGGGTATTATGATACGGCTTAGGGTGAGGGAAGTCGATTACACGGTTTTTTGGAAGTGGCATCTGCGGGTATGCGGTAGGAAGAGAGGCGGCGGTTGGCGGTAGGAAGCAGGACGGTGGGCGGAAGCAGTGCACTCAAACCCAGGTACAGCTTCACAGACGTCTCTTTCCTCCGATTTCTCATCCACAACGTAGTACGTTTTGGTTTTTGGTGTTGTCTTGAATTTCGATAAGCATTTCATTCTGGATAAGGTAAGAAGACACTTGATAAGTGAAATATGTGTGGTTAACTATAATACTGTCAATGGCAACTTGTCAGGTTTAGGATAGTTTTTGTTCTGGACAAATTAAAATTGGTAATTTTCCATGAATTTGGTAAAATCGAAATACGGGAATAAAAATCTAAATTCTAAATTGTCAATGTTATAATCCAGAGCAAGTTATCTTATCGGTGATAATATCAGGTTAAGAATAGTTACATTCTTTCCTATTTGTTTACAGAAGGCGAAATACCGTCAGAATTACAAATAAATTGGATTACATAACATTATATTTCTTCACTTACTTCAGACCAGAGGCACAAGATAAGCATCAGGCATCAAGAGTAATCCTCAATTAGTTGTACAACCATCTTTAATGTATTCTGTTCAGCATAATCAGGTAATTAATCGTCTAATTAATTAAACAATTACTGTCCACATACGTGCATAATTTTGCTTATCAATCTAATTATCCTAATTCCAGCTTCTCCAACAACTAACCCAACTAACATGCGGCGTCGTCGCGACCGTCACGAATACCAGAGTTCGCCCAAGAAAACTCAAGTTAAACGCTAAATCGACCCAACAACAGCAACAACGCCACAATTTTTTGCCCCCTTCCGCCGCCGCCGCGGCTGGAGAACTTGGTCATAATGCAAATTCATCATCAACTGGAGAAAATTTACCGTCTGGAATCTCGAATAAAAATCTTCTCGGACCGCTCCTCTCCGCACAGTTCTCAAAATTAGGACTCACCGAGTTCAAAACGGATGCAGAGTTTAATCAAGTCGTTACCCTCTTGGCGGACAGGGTCATTAACAAGGCGAACACTGGACAGAATTATAACTCATCGGTAAAGGATAAATTTCGAAGTGAAGAACAATTCAGATTGGTTAACCAGATTTGGGAGGATGTCGTCCAAGTAATTTTACATAATATTAATTAACGTAGGACTCGATAGCACATTACGAAAATCGTCAAAATCAACAAGTTTGTAATCATTTCTCGCCTCTGGGAATTTATTTTAAAATTCTGAACGACAAATTTGTAGTCTGTGAGTTGATTAATGGAATGGGGGTGAGTTTTTAAGTCAATTTCGATAGGTTCCAATTTTTCTGAAGGCTTCTTAAACTTGAAATCTCCTTCAAAAACTGTCAAAATCTGGAGTGTATATTTTTTATAAAATTGAGAACGACCTTCTGCTCTACAAATTTGTCATCCAGAATTTTAAAATAAATTCCCAGGGCCGAGAAATGATTAAAAAGGTGGTGATTTGACGATTGTGGTGATGGTCATCGTAAATGTCATACAATTGTCTTTCCGCAATAAATATATTTAATTAATCATAATTAATTCATAGACCGTCAACGTCGACTTCCCCTCATCCATGACTGGATGGTCGGACAAGTATTTAAAAACAGTGATGCTGAAGCAGGTCAAATCTGTGGAGAGGTCATCCTCCCGTGAGGAATTTGCTTCCTCACCGTATCTCAGATTCAGCAAGAACGGTCTATTCGACCTGGACAAGAGGTTTCTCCACCCCACGAACGGTGGTCTTTATCAAGCTGGTAAATTTATTTATAAAATTAATTTAACAATTTAATTAGATAAATAAATAATTGGTTAACAAATTTAGTCCCATTCCGCACCTTCAAAACACAACGAGACCTGGACGCGGCGAGAGAGAGGAATCCAAGCTTGTTGGCACGTGTCAAGGACAAGTTTTTTCCTGGCAAGGATTCAACAACGCCTGGCGGACCGGGTGCTCCTTTAAGCAGTGATAAGTTGAAAGGTGCTTAATTACTAAAAATTTTGGCGTGGGTTCGATTTCTGTTTTTTTTTAAAACGGGGAACAAAATTGGACAAAATTCCCATAAATTGACCCTAAACAAGGGTCGCCCCTCGCTTTCCCGACAGACGAGTTTGAACGTTTATGTACACCACAAATCGAACCGACGAATTTCCGTTTTACAGAGATTTATATTTGTATAAATTTTGTTCATGTTTTTGTCACAGCAATGGTGGCAGATCTACCTCAAAATGATGCCGACAAGTTGAAAATCGCATTTGCTGAGGGATACATGTCTGGGACGGGAGGTGGTGGGAGTGGGCAGGGTGAAAAAGGCAGAGCTTATCGCTGGTTGAGGACACTCCAACAAATCTTGGCGATTGCGGTGTTTACTGCGATTCTGGCTTCGTTAATGGGTGAGCATATAATATGTTCACTTGCTGTTTTTTTTAAATGGAGGTCTCCAGCGTACGTTTCCAGATTTTGAGCAAATTAGTGTCAATGGATCATAAATTTAATTAGGATGAAATATGCGAAAGACACGATCTTCCAATAAGCACGTTTGGCAGAGATATTTGCATCCGAAGAAGAGAAGACACGCAGTAAATTTGGAAAGTGTAAAATCAGCCAACTTTTAAGCACGTTTTCTACTCGTTGGATGCAAATATCTCTGCCAAACGTGAGCATTGGCAGATCGTGCCTTTTGCAAATTTCATGTTAACTTAATTTGCGATAGGTTGACACTAATCTGGCCAAAATCTAAGAGCATACGCTGAAAGACTATTATTTTCAGTGATTTTAAATTGTTTCTTATTTATATATTTCGTTTAATTAATTTAGGATCTTTTGGGAGTGGAATGTTCCGAGTTAGTGTAGGAAATGGGAACGAGGTTCAACCGGAAGACATCAATGTTACTTTTGATGATGTTAAAGGGGTATGTAGAAGTTTCGTACAATTTGGGTGCAAGTTCGTTTATCAGTGAAACTAATTTTTTAACTGACTATGAAGGTGGACGAAGCAAAGCAAGAACTTCAAGATATCGTTGAATTTCTCAAAAACCCTGCTAGATTTGTCGCACTGGGTGGAAAGTTACCGAAAGGGGTGCTACTCGTTGGACCGCCAGGTTAGTTGGTTTTTGAATTCGATTAAAGTGCTTTGTGTAATTGTTCATAATTTGGATTTTTTTAATTGTGTAGGAACCGGAAAGACTTTGTTGGCAAGAGCGGTCGCTGGTGAGTTACTGTTTACAAACGACTGTGTTGGTGGAAGGTTTTTGAATTTGGGGGTGTAAAATGTGTAAACTATTCGGATTTGTAGCATTTAAAAAATTTCAAAATTGCATACTTGATTTTAAACTTTACAAATGCTTTAATCGGTTATTTTTCGAATTCTACAAATCAGGATATTTTAACCGGAAATTATTCCCCCAATTGCAAAAACCTTAGGTCTGATCGCTGTCTTTAATTGTGTTTGATTATTAGGCGAGGCTGGTGTCCCATTTTTCCACGCGGCTGGTCCCGAGTTTGACGAAATCCTTGTGGGGCAGGGAGCCCGAAGAGTGCGAGACTTGTTTAGTGAGTCGATATGCATAATATATAAATTCTGATAACTGAATTTAACTTATCTTAATTTATGCAGAGGCTGCCAAACTAAAAGCCCCATGTGTCGTATTTATCGACGAGATTGACTCTGTTGGTGCAAAGCGGACAAACTCTGTCCTTCATCCCTACGCTAATCAGACGATTAACCAACTCCTCTCTGAAATGGACGGATTTCGTCAAAACGAGGGCGTCATCGTTCTCGGAGCTACAAATCGTCGCGAAGATTTGGACAAAGCGCTCCTTCGACCGGGTCGATTCGACGTCGAGGTTCCCGTTCCCGCCCCAGAATATCAAGGTCGCAAAGACATCTTGGAACTGTACCTGAGCAAGGTAAAGATTGGGAATGATGTCGACGTGGAACTCTTGGCGAGGGGAACGACTGGTTTCACGGGGGCAGATTTGGAAAATATGATTAATCAGGTTGGGTTTAAAGGTCAAATTTCGTCGGGTTGTTTGTTAATCTAAAAACTAATTTATCTTAATCAGGCCGCACTCAAAGCAGCGATTGACGGAGCGGACAGCGTGTCCAAGAAACATTTGGATTTCGCTAGAGATAAAGTGATCATGGGTTTGTGAAATAATTTATAACCAATTTTTGTACGTATGTAAATTGATGACAATTAACTTGACTAATTATTGTTAGGCCCATCCCGAAAGAACCGTATCCCAGACGAGGAAACGAATAAAATCACAGCCTATCATGAAGCAGGACATGCAATTGCATCATATTTTACCAAAGATTCTAATCCAATTCACAAAGTAAATGGACATTAATGCTCAACAAATTCATGATAAGCAAGCTAATAATAATGTAAATCAGGTAACGATAATCCCTCGCGGCGCTTCGCTCGGACATACCGCCTACATCCCGGACAAGGAGCAGTACCACGTCACCAAGTCACAACTCATGGCGTTGATGGACACCATGATGGGAGGCCGAGCTGCGGAAGAGTTAATTTTTGGCGTGGATAAAATCACGTCGGGTGCCTCGTCGGATTTGAAGGTTCGGATTATCCAAATTCAAGTAGTATGTAATTAGTTAACTAAGATTCTAATTGTAATTAAATTAACCAACAGCAAGCCACCTCTATCGCGACACACATGGTGAAAGAGTGGGGAATGTCGGATAAGGTTGGACTTCGCACGGTTGAAGACAGCAGCAAAGCCTTGGTCGCCGTGAATGACCTCGGCCCACAAACGACGGAATTAATCGACGCAGAAATTAAACGCCTCCTCGCAGAGTCCTATGAAAGAGCAAAGTTTATATTGAAATCGCACGCGAAAGAGCATAAAGCTTTGGCCGAAGCGTTGATGATGTATGAAACTTTGGACGCGGAAGATGTCAAGGTAGACATGATTTATGTTTAATTACTAATTGTAGTAAACTTGATTAATGTAGGACTTCATTATTCAACACCTAAATCGTCAAAATTAGCACATTTCTCGACTCTGTGAATTTATTTTAAAATTCTGGACCACAAATTTGCAGTCAATGAATTGATTAATGGATTTAAAAAAAACATTGGGAACTACCTGGTCTATGAATTTGTCGTCCAGAATTTTAAATAAATTCCTACAGCTGAGAAATGAAAAACATGCTGATTTTGGCGATGAGTCATTACGTTAGTCATTAATTGTATGTAGTAGACCTTGATTAATTCTAATTATCCGATTGATTAGGCCATCCTCGCCGGTCAACCACCCCCAGTCCCACATCACAAAAAGGAAAAAATTCTTCTCCCTGCTACAAAACCCACCACGACGGGAGGAATAAGCCCACCCGGCGGTCCGAAACAACGGCTACATCCCTGCTAAAACGTCAACATGCAGCAATTTATATTATGTTTTATCTCGAATGAAGGAAGGAAATCGTTGTATTTTGCGTTTTAACGAAGAAAACATTGACAGCGTGACCTAAATAATGTTAAATTCGTGCTATTAATAATATCCTATCTCTGAAATTGTGTCGTGTTTTGCTAAAATTAGAAAAACAACATTAAAGCTGTCGCGTATTTACCAAAAAATGATTGTAAAATTCTTTAGACTGGATTTTTTCGTAGAGATCTGCTGACTCTGGGTTAAAAATATGAATGAATAATCCTTGTTGGAGAGTCCTCAATTAGTCAATTATTTACTATTTATGACGGTCAATTATTATTTATGACTGACACTGAAATAATTAAGAAGCTAATTATAACGCATTTAACACTTTCTTGAGTTAATTGTCCTAAATGAGCGGTCCCGTTTTGTAGGACAATTTTTTGTTCTAATATTAGTATCATTTTAGATGTAAATTATCTACGTAGTGCTAAAATTTAGCAAATTCTATCTATGCAAAATGGAAATATAAATCCGTTAAATATGCAATTATATTTATGTAACTAGACGTAAGTCCATTATTTAGTGGTACACATTTTCCAAAAACTAGTAGTAGTCTTCAGCTAGGCGAAATTTTAAATATCCATTATCTTTTGAAATGCTTATTTAAGTTCAAGTATTTTAAAACGCCAAAACCAAACTGAATAATTAAATACGAGATGCGTAACTGCTACTTGCCGTGAAATTGAGAAATCATAAAAATCTTGTCAATTAATTATCAAGTAAAATGATTAATAAATTAAATTAGTAGAAATATCATAATTTTTGTGTCATTTTCTACGCATGTGTTGATAATGAATTGCAGATAGCGTTCGAAATCTTGATAAAGAAATAAGGTAAACTTTTTTCCTCATTTTTCCACGTGTCATCCAATTAATTATCTAATTCTGATTTTGAAAATATAAAATTATCGAAATTTCATCATAATTTGTGGGTCATTTTCTACCCATGTTTTGATAATGAAGTGGAGATAGCGTTCGAATAAAGTAAACTTTTTTCCTAATTTTCTGAGGAAAACTTTCGTGTCATCCAATTAATTATGTACTTCTGATTTTGAAAAGTTTTCGAAATTTTGATATTGAGACGGATTTCCATATAAGAAGTGTATGTTTTTTCTAATCTACTTCGTCACAACCGTTTTAAACTTCAACATGAAAAGCTGTCAAAACAGATCGAATTTCTTGCTTAATTCTGATTTTGAAAAAGTATCGTGAAGTTTTCGAAATTTTGATATTGAGACGATATTTCAATATAGGAATTGCATGTTATATGGTTTTGCTATGCTGGTGGCGTGTTGCTTTCTGGTCGTTGTCTATACCGTGGGAAAAAAGTAGTTGCACCCGATTTCTTATTGCATTTTGCTGTCTCACCAGCAGACCAGCAGCAGCAGCCCGGAAGAAAAGATCGGGACGGAAGTGGAAGTTGGAATGGAATTCTAAATTATTTAATTATTTAATTCCCTATTTAATTGGGGGGAAGGAATAGTTAAGTAAACAAAGGTGTAAATTACGGGTTAACTGCTGGACGGTAAATTGGTAAGGAATAAATATAAAATTTGCTCTGATTTTGGATTTGTAAATAAATAGCCCAGAAAATTAACTAATTTTTACCACAGTTAAAGAAATCGTAATGTGATGATTTTCTATTGTTAATTGATAATTTGTATTTGTTCATGCTCGCTCTTGTCGAGGAATTAGTTAATTTATTTATCTTTAGATAAATAATCCTGTGACAGGATTCCTGTCAGAGTTGATTCTTGACAAATATTGGTTTTAAACTTTTGATTATTTACATTTTCTTGTCAGCAGGTTCGTTTATCTTTGACATTTTCGACATGTTCATTCCGGAAGTGCATCCTCCAGAAATGTCCACATTTTAAGGAAAGGAAGACCAGACAGTAAAAAAGAGTGAGGTGAGTGGAAATTGATCGCTCTTTCTTTCTTTCTATGATTCGCACAATAATAAATAATATTTTGCAACTTTTATTGATCTTTTGTGATCGATGGGACGAACGGACGGACGCCGGGGTCGAGAAGAAGGATTTATTATTAATCACTTTTTTGTTTTGGTTTTCATAGGCTCACAAGTCAATCGAGCAGTACCGACCCCTCTAGTCAGTCCGCCATAGATTAAGAGTAATTACATTTATTTATTGACGAAGCCATAGAACGGAATGGGGAGTAGTTTCTTCATAAATTCACCACTTATATTGCTAACCAAACCTCAATCTAGAACGATCCATCAATAATACGCCGCCGAAGAAGTGAACACGCCGTGCAAAAAGAGGTACGACTTACTAAAATATGCATGTGTACGAACGACGATTCGGTCTTTTTTAAGTACTTCCTGTACAATTTGAAAAAGTAAAATAATAAATTAATCCGTAATAATAATAACTATTTTTTACTGGGTTGCTTTGTTCTTTTTATAGGTTGGATCATCACATCGGCAAATAGAAGGATAAGCTACTGCAATAAATACATGGTCAGTCCTTCCCGTCATAAACGTGAGTGAGTGGACAACGGGGTTATCTATCCATCGAGATCATTCGTTAGGTTGGATCAATGTCATCAATGTCATCCCAACAACCAATCCAGATGAAGACTACTCAATACGATTAATCATACATATACACATTTACTTAATACTGATGGATGCAACGGCAATATTTAAAAAAGGCGAGGAAAGACTACTACATAACTGAAGTAATTGGTGGAATATATATCTCACTTACCAAATGTTAAGCAAAATCACACCACGAAATTTTACCAAACAATCCAATCCTGCTCTTCATTCCACGTCCAACATCAAATCCACATGCTGTGTGTATGTGAGTTTGAGTTCAGAGGTACAATTTGACTTATCAATGTCTGTTTGTTATGTTTAACTCAACTGGTAAATAGTTTATCCTTTTCAGACTCCAGCTCCCACTGCTAAAAACTGTTTGTCCACTCGAACTGGGTCATCGTCATCTGGATTTGAAGATTCTACAAAATTTCTGGTCACGTCTTTTGATTTGGAAGGGAACTGGGAAGTGATGTGACGTATTTAATAGTCAAAACTGGACAATAGTTTGAAAAACAAGTTGGATTTTGAACCATGAAAAATGCCGAAGATAAGTGCGTCGTAGAAATAAATAGATGTTGACCCTTCTCCTCCTCCAATCCTATCTGCTCACTCGATCTCGCAAAGAAGAACAAGCACACGACCACGTAGACAAGTCACGTTCACATACGAATCAAGTCAACAAGAAGGACGATAACAATTCCGAATCGTCACTGGAACACAATTTTTTCTCTTCGTGGTTGTGGTCATTTTTAGGCTACTACTGGTCAACTAATTATTCGTTCTTCTATGCAAATTCTGTGGAAAAATCTGCACCACCGGAAATAAAATGTCTCCGCAATCACAACAATAATTACATAATTTTACAAAGTGTTCAGTCCTGGTTGTCAGATTCGAACAGTTTATCGATGCCGATAAGCAACGAGAAGGAAGTCGCCCTTCTCCCAACATTTCCCCCACCACCATCACGACCAAATTCCAACAATATGTCGCTCGAGGACAAGTTCAAAGCTGCGGTCAAAGTTATACACAGTTTACCGAAAGATGGTAAATTTTAACTCATTTGGTTACAATAATGGAGTCTACCAGCTCTCCGATTTTGAAAAAAAACTAGTGTCAATTGATCACAAATTTAATTAGGACGAAAAGACACGATCTCCTAATGGACACGTCTCGCAGAGATATTTGCATCCGAACATGAGAAAATTCACATAAAATTTTCGAAGTGTATAATTTGTCAACCTTAGGACGCGTTTTCTCCTCTTTGGGTGTAAAAATTTCTGCCAAACGTGCCCATGGGAGATCGTGTCTTTTGCAAATTTCATACTAATTAAATTTGTGACCGATTCACACTAATTTACCAAAAAAAGAGCATGCTTTGGGAACCTCCATTGTTAGTTATTATTGAATAATTAAGATTCTAATTTAATTTTTGCTGGTCAGGTCCTTATCAACCCTCGAACGGGACAAAACTCAAATTTTATGGACTTTTCAAACAAGCCACGGAAGGAATATGTACCATCCCGAAGCCAAGTTTTTGGGACGTTGTTGGAAAATACAAGTGGGAAGCGTGGCACGATTTGGGCCAATTGACCAAAGAGGAAGCTATGCTCAAGTATATTGAAGGTCTTAAAGAGGTCGGTGATCCATTGTTTAACGCACATAGCTCGTCCTCAAAATCGTCAAAATTCTCAGATTTTAAATCATTTTTCTACTCTGTAAGCCAGTTTCGACGAGTTCTAGTTTTTCTGAAGGTTTCCTAAACTTGAGATCTCCTCCTTCAAAAAGGGTCAAAATCTGTATTTTTAAAAATTGGCAACGACCTACTTTACAAATTTGTCGTCCAGAATTTTAAAATAAATTGCCAGGGCCGAGAAATGATTAAAAATGTGATGATTTTGACGATGAGCATTAACTTAAAAAAATCTCAAGCGTAATGAAATCCGGGTTATCTGTACTTTCAGATTATCGAGACCATGTCGTGGGACGGAAACGTCCAAGATTTCCTAGATTCGATCGGCCCATTTTATGAATTTGTCAACTTGCAAGGTTCCGAAATGAGTCATGTCAAAGAAACCATTGACCGTTTAACCAGCAGCGGCAGTAGCAGCAGTAGCAGTGGTACTGGCAGCAGCTCGAGTTCTGGAAGTAGCAGTGCGATCAGCTCCATTGTCCCCACACCGATAAACTCTTGCCCAAATTCCCCCCTAAAAAGTCTCACGGATAATGAAAGCTCTTCCACTTCTGGGACCACGATGATTGAAAATAATACCGAGGCGAGGGCACAAGTTCAGGTTGAAACGAGGTGAGTGATGAGATATGAAATCTGCTAACAATCAAGATCTCCCAGCGTATGATTTCCAATTCAGAGCAAATTAATGTCAATCGATCACAAATATTATTAGTATGTTTTCGGTTTATTTCTGAACTTTTTCAGGCAATCGCCTATAAAGTACATTGCAGGTTGATCAATTTAATTACATGATTAACAAGTTACTTTAAGTTTTTCATCACAATCTTACGTAAAGTTACGAGATCTTAAACGTTATAACATTACAACGCAATATATTCAACAGCGTAACCGGAGACGTGTGCTTTAATAATAGCGGAAGTGCAATTCTTATTCTTAACGAAGTGACGTGGTGGTGCAAAGTGCTCATAATGTCGTGAAATCACATTTCAGAAAAATAATAGATCAAAATTGAATTAGTATGAAATTTGCGAAAGCCATGACCTCCCAATGAGCACGTTTGATAGAGATATTTGCATCCGAAGAGGAGAAAACGTGCAATAAATTTAGAAACGTAAAATTCTACGAATTTACGGCGCGTTTTCTCCTCTTATGACTAATTTGCTCAAAATTGGAGGGCATGCGCTGTGACACATCCATTGTGAGATTCAAATTTCTAATTTATCATTCCTTTCTAGAACTGCAACTTACGAGACGAACCACATCACGACAAATGGAAGTTCCCCCTCCTTGTACACTAACGGATTTCAACCCCACCATCACCACCACCCAATCCTCCCCACTCCACAACACACCTACCGAAAGAACAGCGTCCCCCTTCTCCCTCACGAAATCAACGAAATCGACGACCAAGAACAGCAAAACGACGACATGATAGCCATCACTTTAAACGGCACTGGAACAATAACTTGTCAAGAAGATTTAGAAAAGGATCCCGAACAGGAAGTGACAATGCTCGAAAATTCTGCGGCCGCCGCCACGACGTCCGGCACAGAATCCGAGAAATACTACAGTGGCGACAGCGAACCCGATTTCGACGACAAATTTAACGGCTACCATCACCTGGACAACTTTCCCCCCGCGGTTGCCGGACACTCGAGAAATTTCCTCCTGGGACAAAGTTCTTTTCACGACAGGTCCTCCCCCCTCGTCGTGACACGTGGCGTTTCTACTTCACCACCGCCAACGTCGACGGTAGGAACGTCGTCCTCCTCTTTGAAAAAGTCGGTCGTCACGTTCTCCAACGGGAGCAGAAATCGGAAATCCAGCCCAAAATCCTCCGGGATTGAGGGACTCCTCTCATCGGACGCCATCCTGTCCTCCACCGTGGACCGATTAAACCGAGACGTCGACCATATCATGGCTCGGTTACGGATTTTGGAGACCGCTTACGCCGCCAGTGTCTCCAACGGTGGGGGTGGCGATGAGGGGATGCTGGAGCTGGGACGACGCCGACGGGGGCCCGCTTTCTTCGGGAACATGTCCTACTCTGCCATCGCATTCTTACTCATGTGGCCTTTCGCTGTCCACTTTCTCCTCAAGGCGATGACATGGTGGTGGGCGCGGAGGAGGAAAATTCTCACGGGAATTGTCTTAGCATCCACGACGAAGAAGAATAATCTGAGCCTTCAACAATAATCCAGATATTAACGTAGCTTGGAATCTCTTCATCACGATCGTTTAATCAGCATATTTTTAATCATTTCTCCGTTCTGGGAATTTATTTTAAAATTCTGGACGACAAATTTGTAGAGCAGGGAGTTCCCAGTTTTTGGAAATATATCCTTCAGATTTTGACACTTTTTGAAGGAGGAGATCTCAAGTTTAGGGAGCCTTCAGAAAAATTGGAACTCGTCGAAACTGGCTCAAAAACTCAGCGCAATTCAATTAATCAACTCACTGACTACGAATTTGTCGTCCAGAATTTTAAAATAAGTTCCCAGAAGCGAGAAATGATTACAATTAGTTGAATTTGATGATTTTGGTGACGAGTCCTACGTTAAGTTAAGAAAGATGCAGAAACTATAAACATGAATGAACGAACAAAGACAAAAGTGGATATTATTTACTACTCGCATTTCTTGCATGTATACATATTTCTAGAGTTTTCGTCGTTCGTTACGTTGTTTTCTTGTTGGAAAATATAGCTTATCTACTTACTTAATACACACCATGCTTATCGTGCCATGCCATTCCAAACAACGCCAAAGTTACCAATGTCCTTTCATCCATGTATTTAAATACCTATTTAAAATTTATGTAAACTTTTTGATCTACTCTCGACTTATTTTTACTTCCTTCTCTTCAACCGTTCCTCTGTTTTTGATATCTTTTTGTGTAGAATTGCATATGTCGTGATAAATATTTACATAATTACTTTTTCTGCCTCTCACCAGCTTCACTTTTTAAACATCCAGAAATTTTTGATGCATTTTGTAAAAACAAGTGTTCTTTTTAAAATCTGTTAATTTGTTCACCATTAGTTTTAATTGACTTATCGATAGTTTCTTATGTGCTTATCTTCTGCCTACCTGTTGTGACTTCTTCCTCTGCTAAGAATACCTGAACATTGAAAATTACCAGCAAGCAATACGACGAATTTCCTCAGCACGTATCTACATACAGATTTACTTCTTAAAGATGCTACCACACAAATTAATTATTATGATATAAAAAATACGTTAATTAATCTAGTCAGCTACAAATTTTACCTACTTATTTATTACTTAAAAATGTGTAATAATTTTATCCTGTAATATTTTTAATGAGTGAAATGAAATGGTTGAGATGCCAGACTGGGAAAAAAATATAGTCAAAAAGTGTGGAAATCCAGTCATAAATAAAATTATGTATGGAGGAGTAAAAAGTAATAAAAGTTTTAAAATGAGTGAAAATTTCGAAAAATTAGATTTTTTTGTTCGAATAATATCATAATATTCTTAGAATTTTGTCATTGTCACACAATGGACCAGTTTCTCATTTTAAAAAGTTTCTGAAAAAACCGTCGTCAACTTTTCCGAAAAATTGGTGCGAAATATCGCAAACTTTTTCAATCTTTATTAAATACATCGTAATCTACATAATTTTACACAAGGTTCATATTAATAGTAATTCAATGGTATTAAGAATTTACTTTAATTTTTAATTGAATTTTTAACAATTTTTTTTAAAAACCTCATAAAAACGATAATGCAAGTGACAAGATGAGCGTAACAATTTATTTGCATTGTGGTATTGCTAAATATTATCATCAGGTGGAAAAATTCGTTATAAAAAATATGGTGTAAATTATCTCGTGAAATGCAAATAAATGTGTAAAAATAGTTACATTATTATCTAAATAAGTTCCAACAGTAATTATACTAATTATACTTATAATTATAAATTGGTGACATGACACGATTTCAATTAATTTATAATAATAATAAGTACGCTGTAATTTTTAGGTAATTTATACAAGAAAAGACTAATTGAGCATTTCCTTAATTACTTAAATTAATTTACAAGCTCGAAAACTATTTACATAATTTCTGCTGTGAGCACAATTATCACAATCATTTTTCAGACTAGCACGTTTGGCAATAATTAAGTTTATTAATGGCATTTTTTATTGGTCAGGTTCAGGCTCGACTGGACGATCCTGCGGCGGCGGTGTGGGTGGATTGCGTCGTGGTTGGACATAGGTAATCTGTGAAGGAGGAGGAACTACGACGACCCCATTGCGTATTTGGGTTGAATTGGTCGCTAATAAGTAAATATTATTATGAAAGCCGTGTTTTCATTCAATTTATCTCCCAAATCATTAAAATCAGCACATTTTTAAAATTGTTTCATGGGTCTGGGAATTTATTTTAAAATTCTGGACGACGAATTTGTAGTCGGTGAGTTGATTGATGGAATGGCGTAGGCGTTGAGTTTTTTGAGCCAGTTTCGACGAGTTCCAATTTTTCTGAAGGCTTCTTAAACTTGAGATCTCCTCCTTCAAAAAGGGTCAAAATCTGGTGTGTGAATTTTCAAAAAGTTGGGAACGACCTGCTCTACAAATTTGACGTCCATAATTTGGAAATAAGTTCCCAGAGGCGAGAAATGATTAAAAATGTGCGGATTTTGACGATATGTTTATTAAATCATAGGCTAATTAATTAAAAAATTCCAGTAAAAAATGACTCACTCGTTTCCTCCACCTCGGAGGAGGAGGAGGAAGCTCGTGGAGGAGGCTCCTCCACGCATCCATCCGGTTGCTGGCTCATTATAAAATACTGCCCACCTAAGACCAAAATACCTGTCACAATACCTTTGATGACGTCCAACAAAGAGATTCCCGTCACCATTGAAATTGTCCCTCCGTTTAAACCTGTGAATAATTCTCAATTAAATACAATATGTAATTAATTCGGCACTATTAGATATATATGCGCACCTATTACTTCGAACCAATTGTAACGCGAGCTCCTTCTCAGGGCTTGGACAGAATCCGTGGCGAAGTAGACGTGAACAAGAGAAAAGTTGGCGTTGTTTCTACATAATAAAGCAGAAAAATAGCCGAAAAAATCGTCTAAAATTCGTATTACTAACAAAGGAGGTCTCCCAGCGTATGTTCTCCGATTTTGAGCAAATTAGTGTCAATCGATCCCAAATTTAATTAGGATGAAATTTGCGAAAGACACCGTCTCCCTCTGGGCATGTTTGGCGGAGAGATTTGCATCCGAAGAGGAGAAAACGCGCTGCAAATTTAGAAAATGTAAAATTTGCACCCATTAGGGCGCATTTTCTCCTCTTGGGATGCTAATCTCTCTGCCAAACGTCCCCAGAGGGAGATCGTGTCTTTCTCAAATTTCATCCTAATTAAATTTGTGATCGATTGACACTATTTTGCTCAAAATCCTCCATTGTATGCACTTGGTCCGTAAATTAAACATCTTACGGTATATTCCAGTCCTTCATGGTTTTCTGGGTCATGGGGCTCCAAGATATTGACATCTCGTACTTTGTATCCCTGCAGTTTGGATGACAGTTTGAACACAACGTTGTAAGTCCTGTCTTGAAAATTTCTTCTGTAAAAAATTAAATATCATGTACAAATTTCAAATGTGATATTAATAATTTTACATAATACTAGTAATAATTTTATCAATTATTAATGTAATTATTTAATCCTTTAATTTGCATATTGTATAGCATAAATTTACTGGTTTTACATATTCCTGCACTTTTGGGCATACATACCTATTCATCTCAACGAGTAATATGTAAATTTAATGTTTAACGTACGTTCTTGCTCATGGACGCAGATTTTCATCTCTTCAACCGTACACAATCTACATATATCCCGGAATTCCTGGAATTTTAGGTTAAATAGACCGTATTTAAGTTATGTCAACACGAGAGCATTTTTTGCCTTTTGTACCCGGATATGTGACCATTGTGCACTTGCATTGCTTCGTAATTTTCTTTGCGAAACATTCTGACAAGCAGTTTTGCTTGGAATACTTTTCATAATAGTCTAAATTAGCCTTGGCAGTTTCGTCGCTGAAATAGCAATCACGGTTATTTGGATCGATGTCTTTTATCTCATTATCGGCCAAGATAACTGTTGGACGCACGGCGACGTGGGCTTCCACCCCAAACGGAATGGGAGCCCCAAAGCGTTGAATTTGAGGCTCGTCAAACGGATGATTTACGGTAAGCTGAAATTTATGCTAATTGTAAGTTAATTCCCGTCTTTATTTAAATCCAAGGGGTATTCTCCCCGATTTTGAGGAAATGCCAATTAACCAATCAATGCAAATTTAATGAGGATGAACTTTGCGAAAGAGACGATCTCACAATGGGCACGTTTTGTAGAGATATTTGCATCTGAAGAGAAGAAAATGCGCCTTGACGTCGAGATATTTGACCCTTTCCAAATTTACTTGGTGTTTTTTTTCTCTTCGGATGCAAAAGTTTCTGCCAAAACTTTGCAGATCGTGACTTTCGAAAATTTCATCTTAACTAAATTTCTTATGGATTGACACTAATTTACTCAAAATGCATGCATACGCTAGGAGACCATCATTCTTAGCGACAATGTTATTTACCATTAATCCATCCCCTTCACCGTGGACGCAGGCTTTATCAGAATCGTTTTCGCGTTTGATGACGAAAATTAACCCGGAAGTTTTACCGGGGAAATATTGCTTCCAGGGAATTGGAATCGTTCTATTTTGTCTCTTTTCCGCAACAGAGTCGCTGTCTCGATCAGATTTTACGTGTTTCCATTCAGTGAGCTCGTCAGCTTTGTACTGCCGACCAAGTGCTGATTGTAGCATTGTATTTCTAAAAAATATTTCGGACTATGAAAAAAATAATTTTGCACAAAATAAAGATACCAGATGAGTTTGTAATCTTACCGTCGCGTTGCTGCGGTTGGAATTCCATTAAAGATGCAAGAACTTCCCCTCTCAGAAAAATGCCCTTTGAAAACCTCCCCGCAATCTAATTTCCGTCCATTGAGAAAGCAACGTTCAAATAATTCCGAACAGTTTATCATTCCCTAAGACAAAAGATAAGATGGAATAGAGTGCATTATTGATGATAAAATAAAAACACATGCCCCCGAAATTAATGCGTGATTTTATTTTTCCTAACCTGTCGAATGAATGGGGCAACTCTTTCACTCTTCTGTAACTCATTGTCCGTTACGCTCTTATTAATGTCCTCATATCCTAATTCCCAGTTAATATTGTCCTCATGCTCGATGTTATTCAAACCAGCAAAAGTTGTGTTGGGGGAGCAAACTTGATCAAGGATTCGAAACACTCCCAGGGCCTCATTATACGTCCAATTAGTAATACCGGGATACCCATAGACTAGGCGGCCGTAATTACTGTATAGAAGACTAAGATTAAATGTCTAAAACCAATTATAAAAATCTTATCAAAACTCTCCGTGATTTTTTAAATCTCGATCTACATGGCTTTAAATGCAGAAATAAAATGACATCAACTTCTTCGGTTTTTTTGAGAGAAATTACAAGTCAATTAAAAAAATAGCGAGTTCATTTTTGAGTAAATTTATTTTTTAAAAATAATTCGCTATTTTTTTCCTAATCAAAAGTACAAAAAGTTGCATTTCTCTCAAAACTATTTGCCTTTAAAGACATTGGATTGGGGTAGAGTGAGATTGTTACCTTATCGCGTCAAAAACTTGGGCACTCTTGAAGCCCCCCGGAGGAGCAACGGTGACCCTGGGAAATGCAACATTTCCGATGTACGTTTCCTTCGTTTCAGGGTTAATTACTAGCGGATGTCCCATTGTTCTCGTCTGTCCCATTTGAACAATTAAGTACACAATGGCACTTAATACCGCAATAATGATTGTCCAAAACACTCTAAAACAAAACAAAGGAAAGAAAAACGATATTTAGTAAAAGAAACGAAATGTTTTACATACGTTTTTACACATAATTGAGCTATTGACGAATCATTAAGTATTGCAAAAATCCAATTTTATAAACTTGATAAATCGGGGAGTAGTTGGTCTTGCGATTAATTTCACTATTGGTAAGTATTCATTTGTAAAACTGAAAATAAAGTGATTTGTAGGTAAATTCCCAGTTAACACTATGACGTGCTTTCATTGTAAACCGTTGCGAATGAAATGTAGCAAAGGGGTGAAAAGTTTTCACTGAAAACACACGGAATTGTCTTTGTCACATCGCCTTTCACTACTTTCCCGTCATTGCTTCACATCACCCCACAATATCCTCGTCTCATTTTCCCCGTTTTAACACGCAACCCCGTACTTCGAACGTACACCATACCTTTCAATAAACACCCCACATGACAAATCATTTTTTCAACATTCGACACCGCCCACACGGTCATGGGGTCATAGAACGTAGAAATGGCTGGCGATTTCTGAAATCCCCGTCCAAAAAAACGTCTAAAACGGTGGAAAAAAAATTCGACACTTTTAACTGTTGGCGTCATCACCGTGACCTTATGACCTACAGCACCCATCTTCGAAACCCCTCCGTACTTCAAAAATTAGAAAGACGTTCGCGAAAACCGCATGTCGAAATAATAATTTGAATCCGTTCTAAAGTTATCGTGGATACGGACAGACAGACGGACGGACGGACAGACAGACAGACAATCCATTTCCATAAAGGGATTTCGCTTCGCGTCACCCCTTAGTAAACCGTAATTAAAGGGTTAAAGTTAGATTCTTTTATCTGAAATTTAGTCATATTGTGTTCATGCAATAAATATTATATAATAGTGTGTTATGCGAAAGTGTTTTGTGAAATTTCCGTCTCAAAATTCATGATTTAAATTTTTTAAACCTGATTTATTTGATTCCAGGTCTCTGCCTTTACACCTTCCCCTACAAATAATGCAAGCTAAATTATTGCTTCTGCTGATGGCAATGCTACTTGTCATTTGCACTTCAATTCCATTCCATTCGAAGGGGGCTTTCGACGCGTTTAATTTTGTAGAGCCAAACGAATCGGAGCCGGGTTGCCTGTGCCCAACAGATATGAACACGACGGGAACTTTCTTTTTTTTCTGTGGCCGTGAACTCAAACCCAACAAATGTGCCCCGGAAGGCGTCGTGAGGTGCGTTAATGGACGGAAAAAAGCAATTCAACAAGAAAACTGTGCAGCAAACGGACAAAAATGCGGTGTAATGACTAAAAAATTTGACGGATCTCCATGCCCCCACTGTGAATCGCATCGTTCAAGAGATTGCATAAGGTCGTGACGCTGACGAAGACGCAGAAATATTTGTTAGACAATTATTGGTTTAAAATTTTGTACACCTGAAATTTGCCACACCTTCAAATAATGTAACCCATAATAAATTCAGATGTATCAGTAAAAAATTTATTTCTAGTTAGTCTACTTCTTAGCTTGTCCACTTTTATTAACAATTATGTACGTATTTTGGGCGAACAATGAACCGTTCGTAAATTATGTAACGCAAAAATCGCGATTTTCTAGACCCCTCCCCCCTTTGTCCCATGATATCATTGAAGCCTTGCACCCCTCTCGCATTACACAATTTATGAACGGCCTCCAAGCAGAATTTCAAAAATTCCCAAAAATTCAAAGCCTTCCATTACATATGCATCTGTAACACATTTAAAATTGTGCCTTAATACGCGGTCAGTAATGATTTAATGCCAGTTTTAAAAGGGTGCTTGCAAGTGTTACTCATGACCGAACGGTGTGCAAATGTGACTTTACGACATGTTTTTCACCGCATGGTGACAAATTGTCCCCGGGTGGGGCTACTTTTGTCGCCATTCGATGAAAAGAGATAATGAAGAAATTGTCCCTCTGACCCCACGTACGTTTCCGCGGCCACTGGTGTGATTATAATTTGAACATGTTGATAAGAGCTTACCTCATCCAAATATTTATGTCGTTCGCAAAGCATTCCCTAAACCCGGGCAGATTTTTAAGGGCTTGGACGAGAAAATTCCCTTGGTTGGGTTGGTACTCTGACCGGATGACGGATTCGCAACGGGATCGACTTTCTGCGTAGCATTCTTCCAGCATGTCGATTGCAATGTTGTCCCTCCGCGCGGGGGGAGGAGGAGTGGGGTCAGGTACAACCTGTCCCACTGGCTCCATGGCATACTCCTCCAGACAATGTGGCGAATGTCGACGCATCTTAAAATTGAGTCAATTGAGAAGAATGAAATTATGTAAGTTGAAATAGGCAGTCTTTTTAATCGTGTCTTAACCAGTGTTTCCCTTTCTTGCACTCGAAGCAAGCAATACAATGCAAGAAATGCGGGGTGCACGAAACTGGGAGAAAGTGCAAGAAATGTGCGCTATCTAGCCAAGAAATATAGCGGCGGGGCGTCGTTTCTTGCACCATGCTTTTCTTGCAGGTCAAAATATTTAGCTTCAATAAACCACTTTCTTTCAAGAGGTTACTTTGTACGAGAAACACTGGTCAGCCGCCGCCTCGCCACTATCAATTTAAAAAATATGTATGAAAGTGCTCAAAAACTCACCTTTCAGAATTACGATAACGTTCGAGTTCGAGCGTTCGAGTTTGAGTTCAAGCGTTCGAGTTCGACTTCTTTAATTTGGAATTCGAATTTTGAGCTTTGAAATTTCAAGTTATTTTCAAGACTAGACGAGAAGGATGCGATAACCAGGTGGAAGTGCATTAGACACTAATCCGAAATTGGTTCATGGCACCTGACGATGACCACTGGTATCGATACAAGTGAGTCATGACATGACGCTGGTCATACGATTTGAACAACAGATTTGAACAAAGGAATTGTATTTCGATTTTCAAACCTGACATACATACAAGACAATTATGGGCGAGATGCATGCATCCGGTGCGAGGACGGAACCAACTTTTTGTCACGGTTTTTCGGGGGTTGGTGGACATCCGAAGATTTGCACGGTCCCGATTGTGGTCCTTTGTTCTAAGAAATATGTAAAAACAAGGTAAATAAGCAAACGTGGCTAAGTTCGGTACGTTCTTCTTAGACTTAGATTTAAAGGTACAGTAGAATTGGGAGTGAATTCGATCGATTTTGACGATTCAAGCTAAAATAGATACATCTATAGCATTACTTATGTGACCACACCCCGATGGCCAATGGTATCGATACATATGAGTCATGACGCCGGGTTGATGGTCACACGATTCAAGCAATATCTGTAAACAGAATTGAACAAAGGAATTTTACTTCGATTTTCAAACCAGCCAGATTGACATGCATGGTATGTAATTAATTGGGCGAAGTACGTGGAGAGGAGTCCGGAATCCACGGTTTTTCGGGGTGGTGGTGTAGCTACGAAGATTTGCACGCTCCCGATTGTGACCCTTTGTTTTAAGAAATAGCATGACAAAAATAAGCTAAGAATACATACATGGCCAAGTTCTGTACATTCTTCAATACAAGAGTTGGAACTGAATTCTATTTATCGACGCGATGATCCAAGCTATGCAAAACATATGAATAGCTTTACTTATGTGACCACTCCCCGGAATTGTGACCCTTTGTTTTAAGAAATAGCATAACAAAAATAAGCGAAGAATACGTGGCTAAATTCTGTACGTTCTTAGATTTGCAGTAGAACTGGATTCGATTGACGCGATGATCCAAGCCAAAATGCATGGATGGCTTTACATCTATGTGACCAGTCGCTGCGGAAGCCGTGGGGACATTAGAATTGCAGGTTGGGAGGGGATTATATAAAATGGGTAGGTGATGCGGACATCGAATAACCGTGGGGACATTGTCCCCCTGTCCCCAGCCACGCTTCCGCGGACATTGTATGTGACCACACCCCGGGATGGTGACTGTGACCCTTTTGTTTTAAGAAATATGTATGGTAAAAACAGGCAAAGAATACGTGGCCAAATTCGGTACGTTCTTAAATATGCGTCTTGTTTTGGAGATAACTACAATAGAATTGGAATGGTATTCGATCCACTCCATGATCCAAGATATGTACAGTGATAGCTTTATTTATATGCGATAAATTCGTCTCATGCAATACGTACGCAGTTTACTTTTATGTATAACGAACCCACGCATCAACAGAATATGAGCATGTCTGATGAGAAATCAGCCATTATAAATTTCCATGCGCTTAATATTTACTACAAGATCTTGGCCTTGATTCTTATCAAAATCTGCATCGTGAAAGTTCAATTTAAGGAAGGAGTTTATCTCAAATTTCAAACCAGATTAAGTGAGAGATTCATGCAATTATGGGTGAAATTGGCCGAGCGCTGCCGGAAGGATCCCACCAAGCCTGGACGGAACCAAGCTTTTGTCACTGTTTTCCAGGGTTGGGCGACAAGAACATTTGCACGCGGTGGGATTGTGACCCATTGTTCTAAGAAATATGTATGTAGCATGGTAAAACAATAAGATATGGATACGTGGCCAAATTCGGTAATTTCCGTTCTCAAACACTTCCTATTTTGCAGGTAGAGTACAGAATTGGAATGGAATTTGATTGGCTGGATGACCCAAGATACATTACGTACATGGATGCATATGTAAATACTGGCTTTATTTCTATGAGACAGCCATTTACTAAATTTGCGTCATGTCATGCAATACAAAGTTTACTTTTGTGTACAACTCATCAGCATAATGCATATATGTAAGAACGTGTCTGACAAGGGACACTCACGACCTGTCGTTTGAGTCCAGAGTACCCACTATGTTTTTTAGAATCTACTAGGACCCCAGATGAAGGATCCATTCATATTTCCGTGTAAAATTCATATTTGGCGCCATGGCGTGGCGCCAAACTTAAAAATTTGCATTTTCGACCAACTTCAAACCCCCATAACTTTTGCATTTTATGTCGGATTTTCAAAATTTTATGCTTAAAATGATCACAAAAGTCGAAATTTTTGACGAAAAAATAAAAATAAAAAATTTCTAATTTTTGCAATATTTTTAGGATTTTTTCGACGAACCCCCATTTCGAAGAAAATTACGAAATTTTGCGAAAAGTTAAAAGCGATAATTTTAGAAAAAATTTCATGGAATAAGAAAGTTGAACTCTTTGTCATGATTTCTGCCAAAAATTTTGAAAATCCGTCCAGGATTTCAAAAGTTATGGCGGTTTCAAAAATAAAAACATTCAATTTTGGCGAATTTGGCGCCACGCCACGTCGCCAAATATGAGTTTTACACGGAAATATGAATGAATCCTTCATCTGGGGTCCTAGTAGATTCTAAAAAACATAGTGGGTACCCTGGACTCAAACGACAGGTCGTGAGTGTCCCTTGTGAGCGAAAGTTAGTTAGTCATGAAAAGTTTCCGTGCGATTTGGACTACAAGATCGTGGTCTTAATTGGTCACAAAATTCGCAGTCCAATTATTATTACAGACAATAAGATAAATAAGTATGTAGTGCAAAGTAGCTAATTGAAAATTCACTAAAGGTAGAAAGTAAGAAATCTGATGCCTCTGATTAATTAATGCAGAATGAAATACATGTTTCTTCAATGAGATGTGTCGATGAGCAACACGTCCAAAAATGTGGAAGGATTGTAAGAGAAACCGATGACCCTCTTTTTTTATGAGTTGTCGACATCATGGGTTATCATATGATGAAAAATTCTTTTATGTCACTTTACGTCTAAAGATCAGGATAAGACTGCTTGTTGGTAGTAGTGGCCGCGGAAGGGTGGGTGGGGACAGAGGAACAATGTCCCCCCGGTTGTTCGATGTGCGCATCATCTGCCCATATCATATAAACCCCTCTCTCCCCTATCCCATAATTTTAAATTTTAATGTCCACCCGGCTTCCGCGGCCACTGCCCCCACTTGATATTTCTTGATTGTTCAGCATCAATTGTCGGGCAGCTTGGTGACCTTGAATTTTGACAGAAATGTGACACAAAGGTTGTACCCCATGAATCTATAACAAAAGTGATACAGATTTATGACCTATATATGCAGTACCCGAGGCAGATTGTTCTTAATAATTTAGGTGGATCTTTTTTTTTCATTTCCGGACAAATTTTAAATATCATCCTCGAACTTCACTCCTAATTTTGCATGTTCTATTTATGTACGTGTGTGCAAAATTTCAAATCGATTTGCATAAGTTTTGCGAGCGTAATCGATAGACAGACAGACAACTATGACGCGTACATAAGCCCCGGCTCGGGGCTTGAAAAAGTGAACACTTTCTCCATTTCTTTAACTTACTCACCTTTCTTTATTCATCGTCTAATAGTTCTGATTACACGTAAATATTTGCATTTAATTAGTCCTATTATGTACAATAAATAATTATGTAAGCTTAAAATTCACACTTCTTAAAGGATTCAAGTAGATAATTATAAGGTAAGACTTTTCATAGTTTAGATAAGTACGTATCGATTAAAATCTTGATTTCCGACGCGAAAAAACCGGTGTCTTCTTTTTGTTTAGAGTTGTACGTTAATTTTCTTGCTAATTAATCTTCCGCCTGCATGTTTGCCATGATTTGTTCTTGTTTTCCAAGATCTGCGTGAAGTCGGGCGAGTTCTTTGCGTTCCTTGTCCGCGTTTCGTTTCTCGTACACGGCCCGATTGGCGAGGACGCGATCGAGCAAGTCGCGAGTGACCAGGGTCGAGCCGGAGTCTACTTCGGCGAAGATTCCGAGACTTTTAGGAACCTCGTAGGGATCCTGAAACAGAAATGATAAGCAAGCGATTAAATATTTATGATGGGTTTTGTCATGAATTTTTGGCAAGGGTGGGAAAAATAGGGGTCAAAGGTACTGGATTTTGAGGTCTTCCGTCCAAGAGGTTGGATATCGGGGGCTGTTACATCCATAAAATGACGAGAATCAACGTGGAGAAGGTAGCAGTCGTACGAAAATACGGGTTTTGTGAAGAAATTAACTTCAAAATGCATTTTTCATGAATTTTTTAAAATTAAGTATTCTGACAATGATAAAAAGTTAATTTCTTCACAAAACACGGATTCTTGACTGACTGCTTTCTTTTCCATGTATTTAGATTTTAGAGTGTAACAGCCCCCGAAAATCCAAGCTGTTGTAAGAATGGACGACGATCTGTATGGAAAATGCAGCTGTCGTATGAAAATACGGGTTTTGTGAAGAAATTGACTTTTTGTTGGTGTCAAAATACATGGTTTTCACAATTTCCGAATAACAAAGTATTTCGACCCCGATAAAAAGTTAATTTCTTAAAAAAATCCGTATTTTCATACAACTGTTGCCTTCTCCACGTAGATTTTCGTATTTTTGTGGGTGTAACACCCCCGGAAATCCAAACCCTGGAATGAACGGAGCTCAAAATACTGTACAAATTTTGACAAAGTATTTTTCCAACCCGACATCAATTTTTCTTTGTACCTTTCGCGTATCGGGGTCGGGCAGGATCTGAGTCTCGATCCCATGCGCCACCACGGCGACTTGGAGGTGGTCCAGGAGATCTCGTGAAATCGTGAAGGGTGCCCCGATCACGACTTCGTCCACGACGCGATACCCCAAAATGTTCTGGACTCGTTCCAACAAGGTCATAATGGGAAATTGGATGCCAGTTGGGCTCGTTCGGGCGGAAATGGTGTCATCGTAGAGTCCAACGATTAAGAAATCGCCTAAAAAAATTTACATAAGATAAAATTCAGTGTTTTGGGTGAAAGTAACCACTCGCAAGAAATAACGGGGAGAAAGTGGTTTCTTGCAGGTAGATGTTTTGACCTGCAAGAAATGCAAGGTGCAAGAAACTACGCCCCGCCGCGGTAAGTAATTAATACGGCGCGTATTTCTTGCACTTTCTCACAGTTTCTTGCACCTCGCATTTCTTGCGTTGCTTGATTTGCAGTGCATGAAAGGTAGAAAACCCACAAGAAAGTAAACACAGATAAACTTAGGGTCAAAATTTCAAACAATTTTCAAAAAAATTACCGAGTGCCCTCGCTGCCTCGAGGAATGCCAAATGTCCTGGGTGAAAGAGATCAAAGGTTCCAGCGACATAGACGACGCGTGCATTGGGCTGTTTGCATAGAAAATCAGTGAGTTAATTGAGGTTAACTAGTTAATTAAGTATTAATTAGTTAATTATGTAATTAGTTAATTAATTACCGGGGGATCCTTCATGGCCGCGAATTGCTTCAGCTTCCTCGTCGTGGCGAGGAACTGGGTGCTGCCCGTGTAGGGAGAGATGATCTCTGGGACGGTGGAATTATCCGAATTTTTGGTCGGATCCGATTTGAGGATGCGTTTTACCAAATCAGTAGTTGAGACGCCTTGTGTCCGATCGACCTCTTTGTACCGTCCAGCATCTTTTACCTGTGGGAGCACAAATTTTGATAATTTGAAAATTTGAAAATTTTCGTCACTAACTCTAATAAAGTTAACATAGGACTCGATAACTCATCGCCAAAAATCTGCACATTTTACTCGTTTCTCGCCTCCGGGAATTTATTTTAAAATTCTGGACGACTAATTTGCAGTCAGTGAGTTGATTAATGATTTGGGGTAAGGTTTTCAAGCCAGTTTTGAACAGTTCCAATTTTTCTGAAAGCTTCTTAAACTTGAGATCTACTCCTTCAAAAAGTGTCAAAATCTGGAGTGTATATTTTTTAAAAACTGGGAACGACCTGCTCTACCAATTTGTCGTCCAGAATTTTAAAAAAAGTTCCCAGAGCGGAGAAGCGATAAAATATGTGCTGATTTTGACGATTGTGATCATCGAGTCTTACATACGTTTTCGCATCTACATACGTTAAGCATGTCATTCTTACCATTTGATAAGTGTCGACCCCCGCATCCGTGGTGGTGATGTCATTCCCATGTGCGCAGAATTGACACTCGTACTTATCCAGGGTCTCAAGAGTGGTACAGTAAGGGGCATTTTCGATAACTTGGTCGACCCATTTGATCCCTCGGATAAGCGCGTATCTAAAAATTATCATGATTTACTTCCAAAAAATATCGGAATTTTAATTTTGTTAAATACCTTTCCTCCTCCGTGAAGACGGGTCGGGATCCCTTATTTTTCTCAATTCTGAAAAAAATACCAAATTTTCGATAAGTTTATTTATGTACAAAGTGACAAAATATTAATATTTATGCAAATTTTACTCTGCATCCGAGTGGACCCCGACGATAAGCACGTCGCCCAACTCTTTCGCCTGGCGTAAATTGTTTGAGTGACCAAAATGCGTGATATCATAACACCCATCGCACCAGATTTTTGTGACGCCATTGTTATTATTCGAATCCATTGTCATCATCTCATTCGACGTGTCCATCTTATCCATTCGTTTGGAGTTCAAAAAGGCAGAAATTTTTCGAAAAAAGTGATAAATTTCAAGTTTGAAGCTTGCAGGAATTTGTAGAACTAATTCTTCTCTCGTTATTTGGTTGGAGTCAAAAAGTAGAAATTTTCCGAAAGTAGTTATCAGTTTCAGGTCTGAAATTTGCTGGAATTGGGGGAATTAATTTTTCTGAGGAAATTCCCCTTGTAAAAATTTCTTAAAAAGAACAGAGACTAACACCTTGCCAACGAGACGCTGGATGAATAATTGACGAAGATCTGGCACGTGTCTGTGAGCGTCTCTGACTCAGAAATTCTGTGTATTCAAGGATGATGACCTACTCCTTAACCAGTCTGATTTGGTTAAATACGATGACGTAAAATTCCTGATTTTGTGTGTGTATGGCTGACTCTTATTTTGTGTGACTCGATCGAATGGAAAATCACAAACGAAACCAAAACTCAGAAGGATTTCTGACTAATTGTTATGAAGTATTTTGTGTAAATATGTAATTATTTATTTATGCGTCAAGTTTTCTGCGTGAATGAATCGACTACTGTTTGTAGCTCTTTGATGCTGCGATTTTGCACTGCACTCCGCAAAAAAGTGTGCCTTTGTTTTTATACTAATTCCCAAAAGTGTAATTAGATACGTAATGTTTTATTGTGTGTAAGTATCAAATATTTAGCACGACTGCAATTGTAAACACCATAAAAGCCTGAATTTGTGCATATGAAAGCACATCATAAGTAGTTGAGGATGGACGTTGCACATTAAAATGAATGAATTTTATCAGGATTATTTATGTACTAAATGAGTGAGTACAATAATTGAGATTGCAAATAATTGATAAAATTTCGTCGGAACAATAAATCAATACTTTTTTTGCGGGAACGTATTTGTTTGTGTACAATTATCTATAAAAAATATGCTTGTATTTTACAAGTAGTGCTGTCAATCAGCAAACCACGAGTATCTTATCTCTCCTGCTACAAGCACAAATCTTGTAAATTACATATTTCAAAATGAGAGAGACACTTGAACTGTGTATGTGCAATGCAGAACAAAGCAAATATTATGCAGGATCATGATCTTTGATTGATCATCATCGCGATGACGTGAGTTGTGTGTAATAATAGTAAAATTGGTAAAAAACGAAAACTGGAATAAATAAATAAGGAATTTTAAACTGAGGTAATTATGTGGGGAACGTTTTAAATTAAATACAAATTAAATATTTCGCACGTGAATTGATTAATCATGAGTTATTTAAGTAAATAGATTAATGCGTGTTGCACCTTCACGAGGAATCATCGTGATATAATAAAATTGGTGAAAACGAAAACTACAATTAATTAAGGAATTTAAAAAAATAGGTAATTATACGGCGAACGTTTTAAATTAAATGAAAATTAACTATTACGCATGCAAATTAATTGATCAGTTATTTAAGTAAATAGACTAATGCGTGTTACATTTTCATTTAAAATATACATGCTCACGTGAGAAGGGGATACAATTGGTGAAAACGAAAAGTACAATGAAATAAGGATAAATAATTTTAAAAATATGTCAAACGTTTTACAGTAGATTAAAATTAACTGTGAATTTCGTATGCAAATTAATTGATAAGTCACCTAAATAGAGTATGTTGTGTTGCACTTTAATGAAAATGAGTTCATGAGGCAGATTGAGATTGAGTTAAAGCGAGAAATTGTACTTTTACTATTTCAGAGATGAAATTGATTTACATGATAAATCTTTCAAAGAGATTACTAGAAATCCATATATAAATTTAGCCGGTACAAAAATTTAGCCGCTTCTATCTATGTCGTTGTTACTTGTCCTTATCGCTCAATCCCTTATCAACCCGACCATCCCAAATGTTTCAAAGCGAAGCGCGTCGTGGCCGCGAGACACATCACCATTCCGAACATGCTGAAAGATCCGCGTGACCTGGAAGATGATAAGGATACATTTTTAAAACTTGGACAAAAATTGATGATCAAAACAGTGTTTCGTTTCTTGCGGGTTTGCTGCATTTCTTGCACTACAAACCACTTTCTTTTCGTTATTTCTTACAAGTATACTCGCAATTGAGGTCTCCCAGCGTATTTTCTCAGATTTTGGCAAAATTCGTATCAATCGATCACAAATTTAATTAGGATGAAATTTGCGAAAGACGTGATCTCTCAATGGGCACATTTGGCCGAGATATTTGCATCCGAAGAGGAGAAAACGCCCAGTAAATTTGGAAAGTGTAAAATTTGTCGACTTTTTGACGCGTTTTCTCCTCTTTGGATGCAAATATCTCTGCCAAACGTGCCCATTGGGAGATCGCGTCTTTCGCAAATTCCATCCTACTTAAATTTGTGATCGATTGACACTAATTTGCTCAAAATCGGATCGCATCCGCTGGGAGACCTCCTATCGAAACACTGCGCCACAAAAATTATCGCTTACCGTTTGTACGGGTCGCCGGTGTAATACCCGCGTGCATAACAGATCCTCCCCATGATCCAGATACAACCTCCGACCGTGCAAAAGTACGGCATTTCCAAGCCCCCAATCATCAAGGTGAGGAGAAACTGGGGGTAATTTTCCAGCGTGTTCTGATGTGCGCGTTGGACGCAGTTGAAGGCCATGTTTTCCTGCGAGTACATCTGCGGGTAGGGCACCTTGTACTCTTCACGGGCGATCCCGACCTTAATTGGGACAATAATTAGGTTAAATATCGGCCAAATTAATTAATTAGTTAATTAGTTATTTATTTATGTACTTTGATTGACTTCCAAGTGAGCAGCATGACCGATCCGATCGCTGTGAGGACGACGAAGCCATACCCGGAGGGAAGAATGGTTTTTAGCTGGGTAAACAATTACACAGAATTATTAGAGAAGCAATTAAAGTTCAGAAATGTCGGGATATAATTATTCAAATTGAGATACGATAGTGTTTCACGTGCAAGTGACCACTTGTAAGAAATATTTAACTGCAAGAAAGTGGTTTTTCGCAGCTATTTCGACCCGCAAGAAATGCATGGCGCCAGAAACTACGCTTCGCCGCTATACTTCATATGGCGCGTGGCGGGATGGCGCAAATCTCTCGCCGTTTCTTGCACCTCACATTTCTTGCATTGTTTACTTCCCAGTTCAAGAAACGTTTCAAACGAAACACTGTCGAGACAATTAAAAACTTACCGTCGCCCCGGAAAGCGCCGCCGTCCCAGCGATTGCTCGAGATACGGATCCTTTCCCCAATTTCACGACAGGTTTCGAAACCACGGAGGCCGTCGTTGTGGCCGCCGTCGCCGCTGCGGGGGACACGCTGCAACTTGAGCTGGAAAGGGAGAAGATGAAAGAAAATAAGTTTCCTGAAAAAATGGGCACACAAATAATATGCAAATACGGTCGTCACCTCATGTTTGGCTAGTTTTAGGTTACGAAAACGGGGAGGATGTCGGCTGGGGGCGAGAAGCGGTGGTGGTGGTGGTGGTGGTAGTTTTATTGATTAGAATAATTAAAAATTTTGAAAAGAATATGATATTGGAATTTTCCGAGATGAAGAATTTTGGAGACAAGTTTGTTGACATATGAAATTAATTCGTGCCGTCTCCATGAGTACTCGACTGAATAATTGTGCAAATAATTTTTGCCATCGGAAATGATCATCGGAAGAGCGATTTCTAGATTTTTCTCTACACAATAATTATCAGACGGTGGTTATCTATTTAGGAAAAATCCCTCAAACATGTATGTATGTATTTAATATTTACGAAAAAATTGCCAAAATATTTACGAGCTTGTATGTACGAAAAGAACCATAAAAATAAGCATTTTCGCAAAATTTGTGTTTTTGCATGAAGCTGGATTTTTTCTTGTGGTCCAATTTCTTTGAGCAAAAAATTTCGTCTCACATCTTTGAAATATTTACAAAATACGTATGTATATGTATTTCTGAACGAATGCATATGTGAAAGATTTACATATTTTTCAAATAATAGCGGAAATATGCTTGAAAACGTAGAAATATGTAAAAACATTGTGAAATTTTTGTGATCTATGCGAGTTAGGTGACACACCCAATTTTTATTTATTTTGGTCACCCTCTGATGATTATCCAGATAATGTTTATCTGCTTGAATTAATTAATTGGTTAATTAATTATTGGCGAACGATATAAATACGAAATAATGTGCTATTTTGGTATAATGCTTAAATGGCAATTACGATGTTTATTAAACTATTTTAAACTTGATACAATTTAATTCCCTTCTAATTATGCAAATATTTTGTTAACCTTGTTATCGGTAGGACTTGTTTTGAAGTTATCTTCTTGCTAAATATTTTTTCATTTTACACGATGAACTTTGTGCCCTTAAAAGCTTACACGTGGCGTACCATGAAAGCCGTGTTTTTCACTTTTTGTCTGTGCCAATACTTGGAAGGAGAAAAAGTTTTTAACGAAATGATAACTCAATTATTGATTACTCTGAATAAATGTACAAGCCGAAAATACATATTTGTTTCATTCAAATGCCAGCCCTTTAATAAGTGCACTGTTAGAAATCTGGTATATGTATGTAGTGACGAAGGTATAGATTATTAAACTTGCTACCGTTTGGTATTAGAATTATACTGGCCCGTAAAAAATTGGTAATGTATATGATAAAACTACAAGCTATTACTACGCCTTATTACTTATCAAATCCACTTGGTATTATTTTAATACCGGATTTCTAAGAGTATGTACATACATACACCCCAAACTTTTTTAACTATAAATTTCCAGCTGAACCATAAAAAATAATAAAAAACCGTGTTCCTAATAAACAATTTTATAATACATGAAGTCAAATCAGGAAGACATTTGCGCCAGTGGTCGCGGAAGCTGTGGGCACATTTTCAGACATATTACATGGGAGAATGATAGGGACATCGAATGACTGTGGGGACATTGTCCTTCTGACCTCACTTTTCCGCGGCCACTGATTTGCGCTACTAACTTTCTCCAAGTGTTATTTTTCCCGTTAAAAGAAATTGCATCCCAATCTCTAAATATGAATGTAATGAATGACCTCTCTTTCCAACCAGGATCTCTGATCTCAAGATTTCTGCGTTGAAACTCTCGACGTTAATCGAACTTTTCTCTCTAAATCTGAGAATAACAGAAATACGTTTTGATATTATTCTGGGCAAAATAGATAAATGGTGAAACGCGGATAGTCTAAGTTAAATAAATATTTCTTATATTTACGCAGTTTATTTTTATTTTGGCATAAAAATTGTCTCTAAACTTTGAGAAATTTAATGATTTTATATAATATTAATATTATATATTTAATATTATATTAATATATATTATATATTATATTAATTTAACATTATGTTTAACATTAATATTGTATATTTAATAATAATAGTCTAGTTTTTATTTATATATATATATATATATATATATATATATATATTCACACATATATATTCATTATTCATTTTGATGGAAGATTTTGTGTTAATTTAAATGATAGTGGTGGAGTTTTGTCAATTATTACATTGGGAATAGAATTTATTTACTGCCAACTGTAAAATTAATAATTAGTAAAAATTATTAATAAAAAATAATTTAATATATAAATATAATAATATATATTAATAATAAACAAGCCCCCAAAAAAGGGAAATCTTAGTGAGGCTGGATGCAGCTATCAATATTAAATACATTTTTCGGAACAGCATTTGAATCACGACTCTCCAAACTATTTTAGCCTAGATGATTTAATTACTGGTAGAAATATTGATTACGTACATTGTAGATGTACAAATTGAATAACAATGAAAAACTTTATTGTTTTTTAATGGTGTCAAGTTTTCGATCTCGGTTGCGATCGTCATCAGGACGGACTTAATTACATAATTATTAACAAATTACGGCAATTAAATATATTGAACTAAAGATTTCGAATGAAGACAACAGGAATCCATATTCTGATCAGTAAAAATTAATGTGGGAATAGATACATAGTTTTAAGAGTGGTGATGCAAATGCTGTTCCGAAAAATTTATTTACTATTGATAGCTGCACCCAGCCTCACTAAGATTTCCCTTTCTTGGGGGCTTGTTTATTTAATACTTGTAATTGAGTTATTTAGATACTAAACACAACGCATGCCCGAAATTTAATTTTGCATGTAGTTTGCAAATATTTTGCCACATATGTAACTCGAGTATGTGGAACTTATACATATATTCATTCCATTAGTTGTTGTCAATGGCGTTTGTTTTTTTACCACCCCTTAAGCTTCATCCAAGTTTTTGCACCTCTTATAGGAAAAACTTTGTCATTTATGAACCGATTTTGATCACACTACCCTTAAAATTTGCACAAAAATTTACTCTAAAATTTGTGCAATTCGTTTTTCATTACGATACGCCATTAATTAGCTATAAATATAAATACGTTTCCAGGGGTATATTTTTGCCCATAACTCGCGTAAAAATCAAGCATTCGCTAAGTCGGACCAGATCCCGTTTCTAAATTATGTAAAAATAATCGGTGCAAAATTTCATCAAAATCGGTTGAGAAATGACTGAGATATCGCAGATGGTCACTTTTTTGGGGTGGGGTAAATGCATACTTAGTAAATTTTTTTCGTTGTTAGGTATTTTCCTCACTAAGAAAAATAATTAGTAATAAAATTAATAATTAACAAATTAGTAATTCGCCAGTTCATTTTCTCATTTTAAGGCAAGCTGAAACATGAGCCACAATCTTGTGCAGAGGTTGTAAAGCTCTGAGAAGTTATTACATGTTATTTGGGGTCCCTGCCTGCAGGTCAGATTGGCAGGCAGTAGGCACCAGTGAATGACAAGAACTGAAAGAAAATGATATACATAAATACAATTGTTTGTTGAACTGAACATTGGAACAAATACATGCATACATTAAATACTGCATTTCTACCTGTTTAGCAACTACATCGCTAAACAAGTCCATCTGCATAAGATGAGTTTGCAAACTGTGACAGTGATACCGTGTAACACACTGCTCATCATTTGCACTTTTCTGTGCAGATAAACATGATTTGCATGCTTCTAAACTGCGTTCAATCTTAAATGAAGACTGAACCAGCAACACAATCTAACATCAACATTATACAGCTCCGATTTTCTACATATTAGGAATCTGAACACATATATTTTGAAAATTGGGGATATAATTAAAATAAAAAAATATTTTGGGAATATTGTGTCTGAATGCAAAATTTGAACGGTGAAAGTGAAAGCTAAATGACAATAATGTTCCGAATACGATATTTTAGAGAATATTCATCCTTTCCTACAGAAATCATCATTCGATCATCTCAAATTTTTCCAAGTGCGTACACGTGCCAGATTTTGGTGTCTGTCAAATTTATGATTGAATTGTAATTTGTTCCAGTTTCGTTACGCACAATGAAACGTTGTCATAAATCTAATTTGATCCAAAATTAAATTTCTAGCACTAAATACTTATCTGGGTCTCGAATTATTGTGTCGTGTCAAAAGAGCGCCATTTTACTTTCTCTCTACGGCTTCATATTTCATTTGGTTTCATTATTTGGCTAAATTCATCTTCAGGCGCTGGAGATTCATTTTACAAATCATGGATGGATCCAATAATGTACAATTGAGCTATATCTGATGTATTTAATACGATCTGGCCCACTTTCCTTTGTTTGAGTACATCAGTGAAACGCGTGGCAGGGCGTTCCATACACATGTTTCTTGGCTGGAGGACAATATTGGTTCGCATTGTTGGCGTGTATTTGAATGTAAACAATACTACGCAAGAAGGTGGTGAAGGAATCATTTCATATACATATGTATTTGACAGGTGGTCTGTTCATAGCTCACAATAATTTGGTCCACTTCTGACAGCCAAACAAACTCGAGTTGAGTTTGTTTGGTCGTCAGCAATGTAGAAATTTTCCATTTCTGGTTTCATATATTTCTTAGATATGTTAAATGATCGGGTTCGGATGAAGGATTTCGTATGAGGGGTTCGAACCCGTTGAGAAGAACTAGGTGTATGTGCTTCTTAGAGGGGTGACGTTGGAATGAAAGAAATATGTATTTTTGGCTTCTTTATATTGAGACTCAATAATTTAGTTACTCTAATGAATAAAAGGTACTGCCTACGACTTTCGTACTTACATCATTTGTCAATAGGTCATTAATTAATTACGTACAAGCACGTACGCATAAATTCAAGCACGTAGGTATTACCAGGATAAGCACGTAAGCACTGCCTGGATAATCATGATATACATACATATGTATATGTATATACATGTGTATATAGAAAAATCTAGAAACCAATCTTCCGACGATACGTATTATCACTTCCACTGATAAATCATATGCAGTTTTGCAATGTCCCCACCGTTATTCGATGTCCCCATCGTCTCCCCCTTGTTATATAAATCCCTGCCTTCCCATTGCATACAATATTAATGTCCCCACGTGTCCTCACGGCTCCCTCGGCCACAATATTTAAATATTTTCCTCAAGGATAGTTTTAAATATTATGAGAAAAGTTTTATAAAATTTGTTTTTAGGATAACGGAGATTTTTAACGCCATAAAAACGAATTCCATAATTTAGTTTACCCAAATGTACACATTTTGCAGATAACTTCCTCTGTTCAGATGATTTAAAGTTTGAAAGTTCCATTTGGCATCGAAGCGCATATTCTCCCTTAAAATTAAGCAAGGAAAAAATAAAACAATTTCAACCTTTTTGCAAAATATTTGGCTAAAAATGAGACGTTTGTACGTATGTCTTAAATATTTCAACCTTTTTGCAACATATTTAGTTAAAAATTACTAAAATTAGACGTATGCATGTCTAAAATTTAGGGGAAAAAAACAAGACACATTGTATAATTATGTGTCATATGCATATTATACTCTTATTAATTAAATGAATTGCGATCTATTTCTTTAAGAGGACTAGACCTTTTAAGCCTGATGTTCTCAGAGCCCGTATATACGTAAATATGTATTCAACTTGAACCTGACGATGAGTGACAATAACACTGACGACGACAACATATTCAGCATTGCGACACATCTTAAATCCGCTCAACTTTAGTAATACCATCTCAGTGGCGGCGGAAGCGTGGGTGGGGACAAAACGACAATGTCCCCATGGTTGTTCGATGTCCACATCATCTGCCCATGTTATACAAACCCGGTCCTTCCACCATTCTACAATGTCAATGTCCCCGATGTCCCCGGCTTCCGCGGCCACTGTATGTACAGTGATAATAATGCCAAAAGAACAGTGGCCGCGGAAGCGTGAGTAGGGACAGAGGGGAAATGCCCCCACAATTGTTCGATGTCCGCATCATCTGCCCATCTTATATAAACACCTCCCTCCCCTATCCCACAATTTTAATGTCCCCCAATGTCCGCACCGCTTCCGCGGCCACTGAATGATATGTACGTGTAGTAAGTACTGTTATATGTACATATTATGTAAATGGATATGTACAAACCAAGGTAAATGGTCATTTAACCAGATTCTGGGAGAGGAAATTGGATCAAAATCTTCCACTCAGATCGTCTCGAAATGTGATCTTATCAATCTCTCCGTGTCACAAATATAATGCAAATGTCATAGGAAAGATTCCCCCTTTCTGCACATCTGCTATTTACGTCGGGTCGGTATGTGATCTCAGACAAAAAATTGAGTCAGATTGTAATCCGATTTATGTACACTCTTAGAAATCCAGGATTAAAATAATACCAAGCCAAAATAATAATAATACCAAGCTAAAATAATAATAATACCAATTGGTAAGTAATATGGTGTAGTAATTGATCGGAATTAGAGTTTTACCACATCAGTAACAAATTTTTGTGAACCTGTATACATAATTTTAATACCAAGTGGTAGCACATTTACTACCGAGGAATCAATACCTGCGTGACTTTGCCAGATTTCTAACAGTGCAGAAATCCAGCATTTACTAAAATAATTCCAAGAGGTATTGACAAGTAATACCGTGTAGTAATAGTTCGGTGTTACGTATAATTTTAGTACCAAGCGGTAGCAACTTTAATACAGAGAAATCAATACCTGCGTGACTATATCAGATGAGGACTTTTTTTGCTATGAACCCCCCAAAACATTTGTATTTAAATTTTGATAAATTATACTATTAGCTAGTGAAGTACGTCCAAACAATGCAAAAAATGCGTGCTAAAAAAATCCGTATATCAAGGGTACCTCTGAGGGACCCATAATACCTTTTACACATATCCCTTCATTGTGGGCCAACCAGAAGTCGTAAAAATATGGGGTTTGGATATTTTTTATCTACATGCGATTGTCTAAAACGAACTTCAGTAAGGAGCCGCTACGTGACCTTTTTGACCTAAAGTTTGACTTTTTAAATTTACATGTATTGCGACAAAATTGGCATGCTAATAAACTGTAAAACTTATTTTTTATAGAGGTCAAACCTTAGGTCAAAAAGGTCACGTAGCGGCTCCTTACTGAAGTTCGTTTTAGACAATCGCATGTAGATAAAAAATATCCAAACCCCATATTTTTACGACTTCTGGTTGGCCCACAATGAAGGGATATGTGTAAAAGGTATTATGGGTCCCTCAGAGGTACCCTTGACATGTGGATTTTTTTAGCACCCATTTTTTGTATTGTTTGGACGTACTTCACTAGCTAGTGTTATCATTTATCAAAATTTAAATACAAATGTTTCAGGGGGTCCATAGCAAAAAAAAGTCCTCAGATTTTAAACAGTGTGGAAATCCAGTATTAAAATAATACCAAACGGTATCGAAAAGTACTACCGTATAGTTTTACGTACCACATCGGTAACAAATTTTGATACCAAGTGGTAGCACCTTTACTACCCGAAGAATCAATACTTGCGTGACTTTACCCGATTTCTAACAGTGTAATACACATAGACATGTGAGTACAGAGGAAAATGTGACCAGATACATGCATCATTTATGTATAGCACGCAAAATGGAGCACTATTCGCAAATTGGGACAGATTTAGCAACGTGTGTGACACATTTCGTGGCGTAATGGAAAAATAAACTCAATTTTTTTAAAAGAACTGATTTTCCTTTGAAAGGAAAAGTGACCCTAGTTAGAGACTGAAATGGTGTCGGACAAGGACTGCTTGTGTTGTGGGTTACCGTTTTTTGAGTAAGGTGACGCGAAAACTGGTATGAAAATGGTGTCTTCTCCAGTGGACGAGAAAGTGGGAACTTATTTTTTATGAAAAACAACTGATTTTCTGAAAAGTGAAAGTGACCCTTTTTTGAGTCTGAAATTGTGTTCTCAATTAGTGCGTTACCGTTTTTTCGTATACCTACTTACGAATAAGTTGAGTGTAAAACTGGCATGAAAACGGCGTCCTCTTCTTCTTCCCTGGACAAGAAAATGGGACAAGTCGTACTTATCAAGAAACGTGGATAATAAATTTGTACAATAAAAGAGTGACCGTTTTTAGGACTGAAATGGTGTCCTTAAAGCGTGCGTTACAGTTTTTTGCGCATTAGTTTAGTCTAAAACTGGTATGAAAATGGTGTCCTCTTCTTCTTCCCTGGACAATAAAATGGGACAAATCGTGGCTACCACGGGGGCTACCACGTGGCCAAGAAATCTGTACAAAGGGGTGTGCGACAGGTAGTGGAAAGCAAGTAGGTACATATAATTACACACTCCGTAAATGACACACATGCCAACAAGTCTCTCCCGGAGAGAAAGTCTCATCTTGTCCCCGAGTTCCATAATTTCCCCTGCTGTGCAGATACACAAGTAAACGTCGCAGTCGAGTTCTCCATGTAAATACGCAATGTTTCCCTGCCAAATCAGTGACAAGTTTCTCCAGGTGGGCGCAGACAAAGTCTCATCTTGTCCCCGATTTTGAGTAAATGTCAGTTCCCCACGTACATAATTTCCCTGCCCGAATCAGTCGGTGAGCGATCGAGTCGTTGCTTGATATAAGTACGAGGAGAAAGTGGGGAAAGTCTTCAGTCGCTTGGAAGACGTGGTCAATTTCGCAGCAAATTTCTCATCTTGCCTCATCCTCATCCTCTCAGTCTCATCTCAGTCTCATCTCGTCTCATCTGACCCCCGACCATGGAAGTACAACAAGTAGCCACCCCTCCGCCCTCCGGCCTCCTCCTCTTAAACGATCCGGGCGACCCCCCAGTTGACCTTGACCTTGACCCCGACGACGCCAACGCCACCAACTCCACAACGCCACCGTTCGTCGACGCGATGCCGTCCTCCTTCAGCACGATGTCGGATCTCTCCTTCTACTGCGTGATTGCGTACTCGATCATCTTCGTGATCTCGGCGACGGGCAATATTTCCGTTTTTTGCAGCGTTTACAAACAGCTTCGTCACGCCAAGAATCGGATTTCCTTGCTTATCCTGCACCTCTGCATTGCCGACCTGGTCGTCACCTTTACCGCGATGCCGCTCGAGGTCATTTGGCGTGTCACGATTCAGTGGTACGGAGGCGACGTGATGTGCAAGGCGTGCCAGTTTTTGCGAGCTTTTGGTCTCTACGCGAGCTCCATGGTGGTCATTTGTATCTCGTTGGATCGGTATTTTGCGATTATTTATCCACTCAAGTTGGCCAGGGCGGCGGAGAGGGCGAAGATCACGTTGGCGATTGCGTGGGGGTGCGCGTTGATTTGTGCGGCGCCGCAGGTATGTGAAATTTTAGAGTTTTGTTGGATAATTTTGGGAGTTTAGGGTGTCTTGTTGTAGAATTTCTGAAATTTTTGCGCATTTTTAAACCATTTGAGGCCATATTTTTCGGCACGATTTCGCATGTTTTGGGAAAATTTTTCCGAAATTCTTGCATATTTTTGAACCATTTGACCACATGTCGCTATCTTTTTCCCCAATTTCAGAATTTTTTGGGAAAATTTTGTAAATATAGCGTCATTGTAATCGTAAACAAGTCGAAATTTTTCTGAAATTATTTCGCACTTTTAAACGATTTGACAACATGTTATCATTTTTTTCCCAAATTTTTTCAGATTTTCTTTCCAAAAATTTTGCATATCTTGTTATCGACATAATTAAACTTAAAAAACGTGCCGAATTCCCCAAAATTTTGCACCATTTGACCAAAATCCTCCCCTTTTCTCTTTAGAGCATCATCTTCCACGTTGAACAACATCCCCGCTACCCGTTCAAACAATGCGTCACCGAAGCATTTCTCCGCTCCGATGTGGAACAGGAACTCGTCTACAACGTGTTCTCCGTCTCCGTCCTCTACTTCGTCCCCTTGCTCATCATCATCTTCACCTATGCGCGAATCCTGCTAAAAATTTCGCACAAACTGCTCGGCCGTCAACAACCCCCAGTCCACAAGGTCTCCTTCTCCAAGAGTAAGAAAAAACCCTCCGTCACGATTATCCCCCAGAACAATGGCGTCTCCCCAACGGAACGGACCGGTGACGAGGATGATGACGATGACGACGACGACGACGACACCACCACCCTCGCCGCCGGGTCGTCGAATAATAATTCCGCCAAAAATGGAACAGGATCAAGAAGTAGTCTGCGACCTACTCCGAACGGAGGTATGACGACGGGTGCATGGGTGTCGCGAAACAGTGGCCGCGGAAGCGTGGGTGGGGACAGAGGGACAATGTCCCCAAGGTTGTTCGATGTCCCCATGTTATATTAATCCCTCCCTCCCCCCCTATCCTACAATGGCAATGTCCCCACATGTCCCCACAGCTTCCGCGCCACTAATTACACGAGTATAACATACTTTTATGCAGTGGCCGCGGAAGCGTGGGTGGGGACAGAGGGACAATGTCACCACGGTTGTTCGATGTCCGCATCATCTGCCCATCTTATATAAACCCCTCCCTCCCCTAAACTACAATGGCAATGTCCCCAGATGCTCCCACAGCGTCCGCGGCCACTGATTGTCAAATGTCAATATTGACAAAAGATAAATATGTACTTATTTTTGATATGTTATTAATCCGATTTTGTTTACAGAAGCGGCGGGATCCTCCTCGACAGCAGCATCACCCCCGCAACTGGAGGAAGTGACCCTGGGACAGAAAATGTTTCTGAGAACGAGCATTAGCGGTGGTGAGTAAAAATAAAAATTGTGTTTTGGTCATGAAAATCATCTCTTTTTAAAAAAAAAAATACATGAATTTCAAGGCGCCTTAGAAAAAACTCTCAAAATTACATAAATTTCAAGGCGCCGCATAAAAGTCGTCTCTTTTTTAAGAAATTACCTGAATTTTAAGGGCGTGTCTTAAAAATTGTATTTTTTAAAATTACCTGATCGTGATTTTTTAAAATATATGTATTTTCTTATCCGAATTTCCAGGCGTTCTGATGGCCCGAGCGAGAATTAGGACGCTCCGATTGACAGCAGTTATCGTTCTCACGTTCGTCTTTTGTTGGACGCCATACGTCGTGATGACGCTCTGGTAAGTGTGTTATGACATAACATACATAATCGCATTAAAATAGAGAAAGGTCGTCATGACGTCATACGCATTACAATTGAATGACGACTGGGTAGACTTAATTTCGGAAAAATGTCGCATTTCCATCATTTTTTTAGGTCGTTATACAATCTTTTTTTGAGGTCTGGTTTCCATTTCCTGTCATAAAATATTTTGACAGAATTTAGAATTTATGTAGGTTTCGGAAATATGTCTTTGTTAAAAAGTTTGTCGAATTTAGTTACGACTGATTTCCCAGAATGGGATTATGTCAAGTTGGAAACTCGACTTTGTTAATTTCGACATCCCACTTCATTTCCTTCCACCCACAGAACCGCAAAAGTAGGGCTTGTAACCAACCATTTGCAAGAATTAACTGGAAAAAAGTGGTTTCCTGCAGGTAGATATTTTGATTTGCCTGAAATGCAAGGCGCAAGAAACTGGCGCGGCGCGTATTTCTCACACTTTTTTGCATAACAAAACGTACGAATTTATTCAAATTAAGTATCAATTGAATCACCAATTACATATCCTTTATTAACCATTGAGGCGACTTCTTCTCGAATTGTGGCCATAATGGGTAGTAACTAAGCCAGTGCGTGTCTTCTTGCCTCTTAAAATGTTACATTTACATAGATAAATGTGCTTTTAATTCATAGAGTTAAATAATTTACAAGACGCATATCGCTAATCTATAGCTAATTCATATCAATGGGCTTTGCAAGAATAAGGTGGTAAAATATATACGCAGCATATTTCTTGCACTTTATTGCAGCTCCTTGTAGTTTCTTGCAGTTTCTTGCACCTCGCATTTCTTGCCTGGCTTGCTTTGCAGTCCAAGAAATGTAGCAAACCACCAACAAGAAACGAAGCACTGTGCAAAACCACGAAAATAAATACTTCTGTATTAGAGAACAACAACGTCACAATTCATAAAAAAGTGATGTTTCCCACTAACAAACTGAATCTCCAATCCCACTTATTTCCTCCCTCAATATCAGAAAGAGGCCACAAACTGGGAGAAAGTTAAAATATTTATATGTAAGTACCAGACAGAGGGCGGATATCAATTTACTAAAAAACGTCAAAATATGTAAATAAGTACAAAAAACATAAAAGTAAGAATTTTTGAAAAAATTTATACTATTGAAATAATGCTCTTGATTTTTTTGTGGTCCAATTTCTTTGAATAAAAAAAATCGTCTCATATCATATAGTATTTATAAAATATGTGTAAAAAAACATGTAAAATTTACACATTTTTAAAATACTTAGAAATATGTTCCATTATGTAAAAATATTTTGAAATTTTTGTGCTGCATGCGAGTTAGCGGACACACCGACAAAGTTTGACCGTGGGTCATCATCCAATAAAAAAGTCGAAGATAAATGCATATCCGCCCTTCTGTCGATATTGATAAATAAATATATATGTATTATTATGTATGTATGTATACCTATTTTTTATGCGTTAATCTACGAACAAAAAAAAATTTGCCTCACGTCGTTGAACTATTCACAAAATATGTGTACATATGTACAAGATTTATGCATTTTTCAAACAATAGTGGATATAATATTTCAGAAAACTTAGAAATATGTGACATGTAAAAAAAATATTTCGAAATTTTTGTGCTCTATGCGAGTTAGGCAACACACCCACAAAAAGTTTGACCGTCGGGCGTGATTAAATGAAAAAGTCGAAAATAAATACATATCCGCCCTCTGCCAAGTAAATAACACAAAACGATGCAACTTACATATGTATGTGTACCTGTCGAAAAAGTTGAGAAATTTCGTCCCGTGGGTGGCATCATAATAAGATTATTCCGCATTATTTCCAGTTTTGCTCAGCTCTGCATTATTCACACGAACGAAGCAAGCTGCTGCATCTACATATCCGGCCCGGGATGTGTGTTGGTTAGTGGAAGGAATCGGGGAAAATAAATAGTTGATAAAAGAGATTTTTTGTATTTTTACTTGTACTGTACTGTGACTACAATACAATACAAAAATTAGTACAAAATTCAAAAGACCTAGAGAATTTCCATTATTTTGTACTCTGAAAAATTGTATTGTAGAACTCCGCGAAATAGATGCGTCAAAAATTGAGACAAATCAACTCATGATATACGAAATGAACCTCCTTCCACAAATTGTGTCTAAAATGTTCAAAACTTAAAATTCGATATTTTTGACCTTTGACCTCGTTTACAACAATCACCAGGCTGATGTAATCCGAAACGATAGTGATTTTTGAACTCCTCGCCTCAAACTAAACACGTCTGCAACGGTCCAAATAAAAAATAAATATTTTTGACCTTTGACCTGGTCTACGTGGTCTCGGGGTCTTCGCACGTTAAAACTGTGTCAATTTCTGAAATTCGCGCCCAAACCAAAGTCTAAAACAGTCGACACTTCAATTTTGACCTTTGACCTCGTCCTCTCGATTATGGGTTGGTCGGAGGTCAAACGTATTGACGACGATGAATTCTTCGTGAAATTTCCTTTAAAATGACACCGCATATGAAAATTAAGGTTGAATTTTGCGTTTACTTCACGCCAGGGTGACCTTGACCTTGACCACAGGGCGCCCATCTTCGAACTCGACCTAGGGTCAAAAATTAGAAGCAAAATGGCGCAAACAGCGTCTGATTATATTGAGGCGTTCTGGAGATATCATACTTGCCAACCCTTGATTTTTCCACAGTAGTACAAACTGAGCCCGTGTTTCAATTTGTGTACTGTAGACTGTAGAATTAGTACAAAAAGCTGATGACGTCATCATCTAGAGTCCACAGTACAGTCTACAGTCGAAGTACAAGGAATCTCTAACTCTCTAAAGTGAGAGATTTGTAGTCGTGATGAAAACTGACAGGTTGGAAGAACACGACCACCTTCAATGGAGGTTTCCCAGAGTATGCCCCCAGATTTGAGAAAATTAGTGCAAATCAAGTACAATTTTGATTAGGATGAAATTTGCGAAAGACACGATCTCCCAATGGGCACGCTTGGCGAAGATATTTGCATGCCAAGAGGAGAAAACGCGCCCTAATGTTGACAAAATTTACACTTTCCAAATTTACTGTACGTTTACTCCTCTTCGGATGCAAATATCTCTGCCAAATTAGCATCTTCTCATAAATCTTGAGTAGTTAATGTCAATCGATGGCAAATTTAATTAGGATGAAATTTGCGAAAGATACGATCTCCCAATGTGCAATTTTCGCAGATATTTGCATCCCAAAAGGAGAAATCGCGCATTAAATTTGGCGAGTGTAAAATTTGGCGACTTTAAGGCGCATTTTCTCCTCTTTGGATGCAAATATCTCTGCCAAACGTGCCCATTGGGAGATCGCTTCTTTTGCAAATTTCATCCTAATTAAATTTGAGATTAATTTGCTCAAAATCGGATCGCATACGCTGGTCGACCTCCATGGTCCATTTCTGAGACAAGTTGTCCACAGTGGGCGACTTGTTTACTTAATTCTTGAGTTATGATACAATTGACAGGTTTGCATAATCACATTTACATATTTGCAATTTAAACGAGGACAGCGTTTGAGATACTAACTTGACATTTGCGAAAAATCTAGTATAAGTAAAAATTACGTAATCCATTATGAATGAGATTATTAAGCAAGGATGCAAAATCTTCGCAAAGTTCGTAATGAATTCAGAGACCTGAAATCTGTTTAAAACTCGTTTCGTAATTCGAGTCAGGGCCGTGTATTTAGTTTTCTGCCTGCTTTCTCAAGACAATAATTAGCCAACGAGTCCCCTAAAAAGGCAACCTTGCCCTTTTCTTCTTCTTCCCTCTGCACAAACAGTGGCCGCGGAAGCTGGGGGGATATGTGGGGACATTAGCATTGTAGGATAGGGGATTGAGTGGTTTACATAAAATGGGCAGATCATGGGGACATCGAATAACCGTGGGGACAAAGGGACAATGTTCCCACCCATGCTTCCGCGGCCACTGTGGACAAATAAACCTGCCTAAATTTCGTGCCGTAACAACAAGTCATGTTTTCCTCGTGCTGAGTGAAAGTAAATAGACAAAACCTGTGCCAACTTTCTCTCGTTAATTGCGTTGTACAAGCTTTCAAACAGTGTTTCGTTTCGGGCTGGTTTGACATTCCTTGCAGGTGCAAGAAACTTGTAGAAAGCGGTAGAAATATGCGCCATTTAGCCACGCGCCGTATGAAGTATTTATAGCGGTGGGAAGGAGTTTCTTGCGCCTTACATTTCTTCCAGGTCAAAATATTTACCTGTAAGAAACCACTTTGTTTCGATTATTTCTTGCAAATGGTTACTATACCTGTTCAAAAAAACAATTTTCATTCAAAGTTCAGTCATCCCGATTTCTTATTGAAGATTTTCATTCACATTCAGTCATTTTCGTTCAAATTCATTTCATTTCACTTCATCGGACTCCATTTCTAACTTCGCCCATGTATTAAGCATAGGGTGAAAAATGAAATAAGTGAGAAATCCTTTCATTCACAGTCATTCATCTGAAATGACGGAATCTTTCAATCATTTTCATTCACATCACAGAAAATTCATTTTCATTCACTCTCATTCTCTATCATAATCAGTCACATGAATGAAGGTGAAGAGGTATGAGTATAGCGGGCGGGGCGGGGCGTGGTTTCTTGCGCCGTACATTTCTCCCAGGTCATAATATACAGGTGCAAAAAAAACACGTTCTTGCCCTTAATTCAAGTGGTTTATTGCAACTGGTTACTTTACTGTACATCCGAAACACTGCTTTTAAAGTTGTTGCTTTCTCTCGAACTTGCTACTTCATACCGTTTCCCAAAATCAGTTAGTCTCATTTTTCCCTAACTTTCTCCACTCCCGGAACAAAAGAGACGGACCCGACTAATTTTCCTCTCATTCTGGGATGCCATCCCTGCGTAGACGCTTCGAATTTACGTCAATAATGACTCGCTTGCACAAGGAAAAAGAACAAACAATGTTTTTCTGATCATTCGTAAGATCATCAACGAACCGTGGCGTCTTTCATCTCACTCCGCACAATGCGTCCCAACGATTGAGAGGAGGTTTCAGTGGCCGCGGAAGCCGTGGGGACATGTGGGGACCTTAACATTGAGGGATAAGGGGAGGGTGGGGTTTGAATAACATGGGCGGATGATGCGGACATTGAATAACCGTGGGGACATTGTCCCTCTGTCCCCATTCATGCTTCCGCGGCCACTGGTCCTCACAAGTATCCTCACTTTATTGCGCCCTCGTCGTTCCCAGTGGCCGCGGAAGCCGTGGGGACATCTGGGGATATTACCATTTTAGGATGGGGGAGGGCGGGGTTTGTATAAGATGGGCAGATGATCCAGAAATCGAACAACCGTGGGGACATTGTCCCCCTGTCCCAACCCACCCTTCCGCGGCCACTGATTGGGAGGACTGAGAACGACGACGACGATGAGTTGAGGATGAGATTTTTCTGTCATCCGCATCCACACCCGATTCTAATTACGTACTATTGTGTATGTACCGTGGATGTAGTTCTCATCAAAGTCAAGGTTGCGCACGTGTCGTCACGGGCGGTGTTATTATTACCCCTTTATCTGTCTGACTGGCTTTGCATATAAAGCGATTGACAACAAAACAACATGCAATTTTGAGACGGCACGAGGACGACGGTGTGAAAATGAAGGGGTGAACGTTTCCATTGATGGGTTTTCCTTTTCCGCAGGTATATGATCGACCGGGAGGGAGCCAAGTTGGTGGACAAGCGTCTTCAAGAAGGTCTCTTTCTCATGGCAGTGTCAAACTCGGTGGTCAACCCATTAATTTATGGGACTTATGGCAGCAGCGATTGTCGACGAGGGTCGGGAGGTGGACATGCCAGGTAATTAACCAGTTTTTCGTTTTATGCCATATTTATTTCCTGTAATGCAAAGCAAGCCACGCAAGAAATGTGAGGTGCAAGAAATTGGGAGAAAGTGCAAGAAATATGCGCTATCAAGCTAGCCACGCGCCGTATGAAATATTTACAGCGGCGGGGCGTCGTTTCTTGCGCCTTGCATTTCTTGCAGGTCGAAATAGCCGCAAGAAACCACTTGTTTGTCGTTAAATCTTGCACTGCAAAGCAAGAAATTCAAGGTTCCAGAATGTGCAAGAAATGTGTACCATCTAGCCACGCGCCGTATGTAGTAAGGCAGCGGGGCGTCCTTTCTTGCACCCTGCATTTCTTGCAGGTCAAAATATTTAGCTGCTTTCTCCCCTATATTTCTTCCAAGTGGTTACTTGCACGAAAACCCCTGTAATTAGTTAAATACGATAATTAAAATGGTTAATTATCCTTTCAGCCGGTATGAAAACTACGTGACGAGAAAGCGGGATCCATCCCCGTCCACGTCGCAACAGAGAAGGAGCATTCTTGGCGGAAGAGGAGTTCCCGGTGGGGCGACGACAATGTCGAGCGTCATCTTGACGAATAATCTGTACCCGGGACGTGGTGGGGGTGGTGCAGAGAGTAGAAAAACGTCCGTCATCTAAATAAGAGAGCACAAGTTTTTTTACAGTAAAGTTATACATATTTTAACCATTTATTGTCTCATTTATGTGTATAAGCTAAGTACAAATAGTGTTTCGTTTCTTGCCACATTTCTTGCCGAAACAAAAATAATGCAAGAAACTGTGAGAAAGTGGGAGAAATGTGCGCCATCTAGCCACGCGCTGTATGAACTATTTAAAGCGGCGGGGCATAGTCTCTTGCGCCTTGCTTTCTTGCGGGTCAAAATACCTGCAAGAAATGGTTATCTTGCGGCTATTTCTTGCATTGAAAATGACATGGCTGGAATGCATTGCAAGGCAGGAAATGCGAGGTGCAAGAAACTGGGAGAAAGTGGAAGAAATAAGCGCCATCTAGCCATGCGCGGTATGAAAAATTTACAGCGGCGGGGCGCGCCGTGCGTTTCTTATAGGTCCAGCTGCAAGAAACCACTTTGTCCCCCTTATTTCTTACACGTGGTTTCTTGCACGTGGTTACTCGCACGTGAAAAACTGACTCCATATTTGCATAATAGGTAAATATTAAACAGTAACATATGATATGTAATTGTCTTCAAATTCTGGTCAAGGTGTTGTATATTTTGTGTATTTAAACGTAATATTAATCCGAACCTGAATGTATTTAATGTTACTGGTACTGCCCGAATTAATTAATTCTATGTATGTTTACGAAAATGTCAAAAAAGCTGTGGTTAAAAAAATATGTAAATATGTATACAAATTGTTCTACATTAAATATTTACACCGTCTGTAATCTGTAATTTACTTACCTGAACTGTCGTACCGTGAGAATGAATGGGTCAATATTTATGTAAATATGTATGTACGTAAGTATTTAAGTATTTAGCGCATAGTTTTGTCATCACGTAAATATTGTGTAACTTTTAATTACGAAATTGTCTCGTGTTACCTCATGTTCTAATTGTTTTTATAATAAAATCCGTAAAAAACTTGTGTCATATTTGTGTCTGAGATTTGTTACGGAATTTCATTAAATTTCATAAAAAATGGGTAACGTTATGTGATCCGTTTTGACAAAGTTAGATAACGTAGAAGTTGATGACTCGGTATAAAAATCAGCAGATTTTTCATCATTTCTCGCCTCTGGGAATTTATTTTAAAATTCTGGACGGTAAATTTGTAGAGCAGGGAGTTGCCTATTTTTTTAAGAAAAATACACTTATGATTTTGACACTTTTTGAAGGAGGAGATCTCAAGGTTAAGAAGCCTTCAGAAAAATTGGAACTCGTCGAAACTGGCTCAAAAAACTCGACGCCATTCCATTAATCAACTCACTTTTTTTTCGATTCAAATAAATTTAGGGAATTTCAACCCTTTATTACATATATTTAAGATTAGATCGTACAATGAGAATTCCAAACACAACTATTCTAAAAAAACGGAATAATCATCATACAAATGCAGCTATAATTAGGCCATGATTTAAAATATGCCGAAAACTTAGAGATATAATTTCGTATTTCATTCATTCACGAAAAACTGAAAGAAATGGCTTTATCTGATAAGGAAATAAGAAGATTCAGCCTAACCTGACACCTAAGTTGTTGACATACCCACGACGCCAGGTAATGGGTTGGGATCCTCCCTGGGGCTGTGGGTATGTCAACGCGTCCCTAACCTTACCGATGCCAAGTGCTAGGAAATGACTGAAAATAAAGAACCTTCCCAACCCGGGTACGCTCGCATTTTTTGAAATTTCTATAGGTTCTTTAAAAGAATTTAGGAAAGATGTGCCAAATGCAACTTAATACAAGAAGTAAAATTACATGCCTATTACAGTTAAGTCTCCCACGGCGGTGGATCTTCTTGGGAGGAGGACTTTACTTGTGTCATCAGGGGTAGGAATTAAACACTGCCTCTGACTCACTCTGCTTCATGACCACGTTATTTAGTACAATGACAAATCAATAAATAATTCTTAGGAAGAGATTTGTAGAATAATACATGCTTATGTAAGAATCAACTCACTGACGGCAAATTTGTCGTCCAGAATTTTAAAATAAATTCCCATAAATGATAAAAAAATGTGCTGATTTTGACAATATCTAACTCCTACGCTAGAATGTCTCCATTTTGTTAAATATCTCATTGTGTGCCCCTTTTAACATACAGGTTATACAATAATCGGATATGTAGCGTATGAAAATTTGCATGATACACAGTTACTGGGGACAGTGGCTGCGGAAGCGTGGATGGGGACGGAGGGACAATGTCCCCACGGTTATTCGATGTCCACATCATCTGCCCATGTTATACAAACTCTTCTATCCTACAATGTTAATGTCCCCACATGTCCCCACAGCTTCTGCGGCCACTGATTCACTCGAAAATCGAACATATGTAGAGAAATTCAGCATATTTCATTTTGCCTAAAATTTCCGTAGATTAAATAACCTCGATATTATCCAATATTGAAAAGAGGACTTGACTTGCAGGTTAATTATTCAGATCTTGATGTGCATGACTTCATTTCCAGCCAGTCGTCATCACTTATTCAGAAAGCATCGCATTTTGCAAACGAGATCTTGCTCGGAACAAGTAAGGCACTTACATATTTTCGCATACATATGTCGTTGCACTATGTACGTATGTACAGTACTCTCGGTATAAATAGCGACTATATTTAACCACAAGGATTCAGAGGAGGGCAAAATAATGTATTTTGAGCGAGTTTATTCATAGGCTTTGGATTTCTGGGGGGTGATATAAAAAGTGACATAAAAAGACAAAATTTTACGAGGAGAAGGCAACAGTCGTACGAAAATAGGGGTTTGTGAAGAAATTAACTTTTTATCGGGGTCAAAATGCATTGTTTTCAAGATTTTTTTAAAATAAGGGTTTTGAGCATAACCGATCTTGGTTATGCAAATGCAATTTCGAAAAATGGAAATTCGTACTTCCTTGTAGTAAAGGACGAAGCATCAGCTTTTAGACAAGTATATTTCCAAAAGAAAAAAGGTGAAACCGCAATGAATGTTATAGATGCGATTAACTTCATGCGTACTCAGACCGGAAATAACGTGAAGATGTTCAGATCGGATAATGGGGGCGAGTACAAATGCCAAGAATTGGTATCCTTCTTCTCTAAACGAGGAATACGATTCGGTCTCAACTCACCTCAGTGCAGTCCCAGTAATGGATTCGTAGAACGTGAAATGCGAATCGAACAAGATGCAGCGAGGTCAATGCTGATCCAAAGTCAGCTGCATGAATCGCACTGGGAGGATGCAATCCGAACTGCATGCTACGTACTCAACAGAACCTTGAGTACAAAAAATACAGAAAAAACTCCATACGAACAAGTTATAGGAAAGAAACCTACTTTACAGCATGTTCGGATTTTTGGGAGTAAAGCTTTCGCTCACATAACAAATGGACAAGGAAAGAAATTCGATGACAAAGCTACAGAATGCATTTTGGTTGGTTTTGATGCGCATTCAAAGAACTATATTTTGTATGATCCAGCGGAAGGAAAATATCACTACCAAGCTAAACATGTGAATTTTATCGAAACAAATGCTTCTCGAAGAGAGAGCATTACTAACGATGAACCTGATGAGATTATTACTACATTTTCTACCAAAGAAGTAAGAAATGATGAAACTGAACAAACAGACGGGGCAAGTGAGACAGAGGATGAAGAAGCTGAGACTTATTCGTCAGCAAGCAATTCTCCGCAGCAAACTAACCCCAAAGTTCATCAGCACAACGAAACATGGGCAGATGAGATACAATGGGAAGCATCACAAGAAGACCGTAATTTTGTGAACACCTCCCTCCCACCACAGCCCAGTTCCTCTAAACCCAAAAGGGAGAGGCAACAAAGGAAGTTTTATCAAGCCGGCAGCGGTGACGCAAATGTAGCTATGCACGCAACAAACACCGAGCCAACAACTTATTCAGCAGCTCTCAGCTCTAAATATGCTGGAGAGTGGAAGGAGGCGATGGATTCTGAAATGAGAAGTCATTCTGAAAATGGAACATGGAGACTTGTAAAACGACCCGTAGGAAAAAAGGTGCTGAAAAACCGGTGGGTTTATAAAATTAAGCACAATCCAAACGGTGAAATTGAGAAATTTAAAGCACGCTTAGTGGTGAAGGGTTTTAACCAAGTCAAAGGTGTAGATTACACTGAAACATTTGCACCAGTTAGCAGATATGAGACGATCAGAACTTTGTTGTCTGTAGCAGCAGCAAGGAAATTAAAATTAGTACAATTCGACATAGGAACAGCTTACTTGAATTCAGAACTAAAAGAAGAAGTATACATGGAACAAGCTGAAGGTTATGAAATCGGATCTGATATGGTCTACATATTGGACAAAACCTTATACGGACTGCCACAATCAGGACGGGCTTGGTTCGAGACATTTAGCGCAAAGCTGAAAGAAATGGGATATGTACAATCCAAAAGCGACAAATGCTTGTTTATGAAAACAACATCCACGGGAAAAATATACGTAGTAATATACGTTGACGATGGACTCTTTGCTGGTAAAAACAAAAAGGAGTTGCTTGCAGAAATTGAGAAGTTAAAAGCTTCATTCAAAGTTAAAATTCAACCCCTTGTCAGATTTCTCGGCATTGAAATCTTACAAGTGGAGGAAGGAATATTCTTGCACCAGACCAAGTATATCGAGGATTTGCTTGAGAGATTTGGAATGCAAGATTGCATCACACTACCAATTCCTATGCAGCCTGGTTTGCAGTTTGACGGGAGTGAATGTGACCCAAATTTAGAGTTTCAACAACTCATTGGTTCACTATTATTTCTAGTGCGATGTACACGACCAGATATTGCGTATGCCACGCATTATTTATCCCGGTTTTTTGGGAGCTACAACAAACTACATATGAATGCAGCAAAAAGAATCCTGCAATACCTAAAAGGGACAAAATCTCTTGGTATTATGTACACTGAAAGTGAGGCAGACCGAGACGTCGTCTGTGCGTACGTAGATGCAGATTACGGCTCCGACACAACTTCACGGAAATCAACATCGGGTGTATTATTCACTCACAACAACTCTCCCATCGTGTGGATGAGTAAGAGACAAACCTGCATAAGTTTATCCAGTTGCCAAGCTGAATATGTAGCTTTAGCTCTCGCTGGAAAAGAAGCGGTCTGGGTAACCAGATTATACTTAGAGCTAGATATGATTTCACTGGAAAATGAACCTATCTGTCTAAAAACGGACAGCCAGAGTGCAATTAGACTGGCGAAAAATGATGAATTCCACGACAAATCAAAACACATTGACATTAGGCATCACTTCATCCGAGATCTGGTTGAAACAAACCAAGTCGTATTGGAGCATTTGCCTGACAAAGTTCAACCTGCTGATATTTTAACCAAATCAGTGGTGAGGGAGTCGTTTGAGACGAAAAGATATTTGATGGGAATGGTCCCTCCTCCTCCTGCAAAGGGAGAGAAGAGAAGAGCACTGTGCAGTGTTATTGTCAACCCAAAGCGACCCAGTTTATTGTGGAGTTTTATGGCTTTATTGCTCTCATTTTTAACTATTGGAGCAACCGATTTACACAAAGAGGGAAGTCCTGTTTTGTAGAGAAAGAGCTATGAACCAGTGGTGATCGGATTTCATGCGATAAATATGAGAATCGCTTTAATTTCACCATGCGAATTTTTGCCATTGGATGATTTGGAACCCAGAATTGCAAACATCATGAAAAAACAATGTGAAAAAGCATATGACGAAATATTTCTAAATAATTTAGAAGATATTTGCTCTCCACCACAAGGGAGGCGAAGACAAAAAAGAGTAATTCCTGTCGTTGTGGGATTTATTCTTGTCGCTTGTGTTGGAAGTGCTGGGATCGGACTGGGCAGTTATGCAATAGCAGAGACACACCGACTAGAAACTCGACAAGACGAACTAGAATTTGCTTTCAATAAACTTGAAAGACAAGTTTATGAAGACC